ACATATACGTTTTTACTAGATTTAAAATAAGAAAATGAACGGTCGATTGCAACTTTGGTACAAGTACTTTCAAAGATATTAGTATTTTTAAGCTAAGTGGAAGGAATAGTGGGGTTTATAAATGCCTAGAAATAAATATAAACAGATCCGCGTTCCACGTCCAGTATTTATATTAAATTGTTAAAAACTTGCAAAATATTTATTATAAAGTTGTTAGTGACTGTTTATTTTTTTAGATAAATGATTTTATTATAGTTAATCTAGTTTAAGACATAAATATTTCCATTTAAAATACTCAAGTTAATAAAATTTTAAGTGGAGATGATAGATATATTTTTTTTTTGGAAAATCATAGAACATAGTATTCTATTAACTTCTGAAAAAAAAAATATAATATGCTGTATACTTTTAAAAGTTAATACGTGATTCATAGTTAAACAACCACTGTATATATTTTGTTTGTAACCAACAATTGTTTAAAAGAATATTTTCTCAGTTTATTTATTCGGTAATTCGACTTCGTACCTCCTGTTTATTCAGAGCGGTTGTAATATTACCCATAGTAAAAACTAAAATTATATTTCCTCGCACAATGTGTCGGCCAAAAAGACTATAACGTAACGAAAACGATGATTAATGGAAACAACAAGTATTGTATACTTGCAGGTTAGCGAGGATATCGCATCTTCCGGGATAAATTACATTGCAACGGTCCATTGTTTTTCACATACAACGCTTTTATGGAATTTGGATAGAACAATGAATTTAACAAATCGTTAAAGTCGAACGACGCAAACTACCCAATGAAATTATTAGGGTTAAAAAATACAAAAAAATATATATGTATATATTTAAAATACAGTAGAAAGTATATTTTACTATACTATTTGATTAAAAAAAGAAAGAAAAATTGGAATCAATAATGCTGATTTTTTTTAAATTAGTATTTCATTGAACTACTTACACTTCTTATCATAAGTTTTTTCCAAGTATTTAGTCAAAAATAAAAAAAATTGATGTCTTTTGTATGAATTTTAATTAAAAACCTAAACTTATAGAAAGATTTGTGTATTTAAGAAACGCATTAGATTACTCATTACGTAACTTACTTAATTAATTTTAGAAATTAAATTTGTCTCCGACTTTAACTTAAGAATACTGGTAAACCATGTAAATAAACGTTTTGACTATCAAACAGTTGTGCATGTTAACCGATGGGTGTGTATACTTAGGTTTTCTTCTCCCTATACCTATGATTCCAGGTCAACGAATTTTAGTAGGTTGATAAGGTGAAGATAACCTTGTGGTAGTTAAAATCAATGAATTTAAAGGGTGGTAAAAGAACTTCAAAGTTGAGCGGGTATTTTATGTAGAACGTCCTTATTTAGATAGATACAAAAGTAAATATCTTATAACTTAACCAAAATAGGTTTCATATTAATTAACTAAATAACATCTAAAAAAATAATAATATTTCTAAGTCAATTAAAGATACAAGTTTATTTATATACATGCTAAATGAGCATATCTTTTTATATACATGCTAAAGTTTTAGCATTTTAAATTGAACGATCAAAAAAATGAATGTAAAGGGCATAGCATTAATTACATATAATTATTATATACTTTTAAAGTTACACTATGACCAAAATTTATTATATACAAAGTCACTTATATTGTACTCCATTCATTAACAAAGTAATATTAAAACTCGCTTTACGCAAAGCACTTAAACTATTTAAATATTAAATGATGCACATGTATAACGTAAAACATTATATAAAGAAGTATGCTCAGTTTATGGAAAATAAGCCATTTTGTAAAACATAGCTTGTTATTCCAAGAAAGCTTCTAAAAGTAGTGGAATTTAAATCTATTCGTTGTTTTATGTTAAGTTTTTACTTTAAAGAACCCCTACTATCAAAAACATTATATAGAAAATTATGCTAATGCGTAATTTTGTGTTTTACTTTTCTGTCTCTTATTAAAATTACCTCAATTACTTATTATAGGCACAGCTATAAAGAGCAGTTGTTCCCGTTTAATTACTGAAGATAAATTTTTATTAAAAAGGAAAATAAAGGGTTTGGAGAATAATACTAAAAAAAATATTTGTGTACACACTCTCTACAACACTTAATATTCTTAACAAAATAAATTTAATTTAAAAACGCACCGAATTCATACAAAGTAATAGACATTGAAAAATTTAAATATAAAACTTTTTGGTAATAATTATAACACGAGAATCGCCAAGAGATGACAATCATTATTTAATAAGATAAATACTTATCCATGTTTATTATTATTCTAATAGTTGTAGATATCTGTGATTTAAAATACATAAGTATTTTGATAATTAAACGTATGATTTGAAATTTTCAGCAAATCGTTTCGTTCAACATTGTCATAAAAAGATAATTATGAAAATGGCATAGTCGTTTAGTTATCACCGAAATATTTAATCGTGTGAAGAATTTGCATATCTGACGGAACAATGATTTATTCGATGACATTTGAGTCCCATGTTTTATTACATTTTCCCTGGGGTATTTCAGTGGGATTTGCAGTTATTGTAATTAAAACTACTGAATAATTTTGATAATGCACTCATATTATTTTCATTAGTGTTACTTTTACGTTGATTAAAGACCCTTTTTCTGTGAAATTGACAATTAAAAGTATTTTAACCTTTGCGTGCACAAAAATTTGCTATAGAAGTATGCACAGGTTTCCCGTTCATTATCCTTGTGTTGCGTTTTGGTATTTGTTGCCGATATAAAATATGATAAATAGTACATTATGACGTCGAAAACGCTGTTTTGTATCACAGACAACCCATTGTCCAATAAAGCGTTGTATAAATCTTAAAATATGGAGATTCCTCTACTCATGTCGCTTTTATGTTATACTATCCATACCCTTCCCCTAAGCGAGGATTTTAAACATATTCACTATAGTTTGAAATTTCTCATTATTATTTATTTGTTCGTTATTACCATCAGGATTTTATAATAACAATAATGTTGAAAAAATAGTTTATTCCAGTACTGTATAATTATTAAGAATTCTCTTACTATTTCTATTAAAATTTATATCCACAATATTTTTATACCTAACTGTTACATAAAAACAAAACCCTCGGGTCAAAAATTTTACGAAGGTTGTTTTATAAAAATAAATCCCTCATAAATTTTATATTACTTCCTATTAATTTTAAAAATACATAGTTTGAAATTAAAAATATATTTAAAATATTAATTTAAGACTGAACTGTATAAAAAATATTAAAATCCACAAAGTAGTATTGATAATTGTTGTTTTCATTATTCCCCAAAAACGTATACATTTTTTTTAGTATTTTTTGTGGCTTAATGAGTTAAACATTTTTTAATTTTTAGTGTAGAATTTAAATTTAAAATGTATCTTTTATTTTAAATAATATTTAAAGCCACAAGTGATTCTTATAATATATTTTGTTTTTAATTATACATAAAAGACTATTGTAAAACTGTTTCAATAGGATATAATTTAAAATTTATTTTAAAACTTACTAACATTCAAAACATTTTTTTGTTGTGTAAATTCATTTAATTTCGTTTGTGATTTCAATTTAAATTTAAGTGAATTGAACTAACCTCAAAGAATTTGTTCACATTTTCTAGTTTGAACCATTTATTCGTTTTCAAATAAAATAGAGAAAATACGGGGGTTTCAGTATAGTTAGTAGTTAAAAGAAACATTAAAACCAAGTTTTTATTACAATTTCTATAATCTTTAATTCCATTAGCTAAAAGAAAAACTATAATATAAAGGGAGAATGATAATTTGTATCCATAAGAAATTGAATTTAAGTCTTTTGTGTATCATTAATAGCATTTACTATTATAGTTCTTACTATAAAAGTTATAATTAAATTGGTTTCCATAAATTCTGAGTTTATCATATGTTTGATAGTGTTTATTATGAAGTAATTTTATTAATCACCGCAGAATACCGATTTATTCATTGCAACTATCAAATTAATGTCAACTAAATTGTGTAGATATTTACGCGTGACTAAATAAAACGTATCAAAAGTTGTAAAAATGAATAAAACTAGTATGAAATGAACCTGTACAACATTGTGGTAGTACTGATAATTTGTTTGTTTCATTCAAGTAGGTTTCACTCGAGAAAAACCATAGAAACAAACAGCCACAAGAGGGTCCTAAATCTTACATTGTAAATACACATCTCAACTCTTATTCTGAGCGCTGCCTTACAATATACTGATTTCCTGTAGTTTTTTGAGTACGTCATGCATAAAATTTGCACGAATCTGAATAAAACCCATTTTTTAAGTATATATTTATCGTGTTTTGGCAGAGAATTCTTTCCATTTCACACGGTTATTTTTAATGGTCCCAACGCATTAAGAATTTTACATTAAAAATAAGAAAAACTTAACAATCTATAAATCTCTCGAACACTACGTGGTAGCACACATAAAGACAAAAGTATGCTACAAACGGAGAGCGAAATAGTAGAAAGGAATAAAGTTGTTTGAGAAAATTTAACATTCCCCACAATCTGACTTTAGGCGAAACGATTTAAAACACCGGCTAACATTTAAAATCGGCGGTTTTAAAGAAATATAGAAAACAACGAGTAGCCATTCTCCCTCAACACTCTAACACTATCAAAACACTCGTAGCTTTTTAATAAATATGTTTCAAGATGCCATGAACAAAAGGCATTATTACGTCCTGACAGTTTATTTTGCGACTCGAAAAATACTTTTTGTTCATTGTTTCATAAAATTCCGGTTTTATCAAAATTTATATTGCCAAACTTATTTCTTTATTTATACCATCATTTTAAAGGAAACCGTGACAATTATTATGTTTATAATTATAAAACACTTGAATAAAATTAAGTTTAAGTGGTAATTTAATGTTTATTAAAGTTGTTGTCCGAGAGAATTTATTTAATAATAATAAATATATTACTTTTTTTAGAATGCTGGCGTTCACTTTTTTTCATTTTTCCTTCTGATGTTGGGCTCTGGATTTTTACTTGAAAATACTACCATTGGATCATCTGTTGTTCCAGAAATCAAAGATAGAATGAAGGAAATGATGCTGAACTCCCACATCGACTCTGTGGGGTATATGTTAAATATGATTCAAGAATCGGTAAACCAAAATGTTTTAAATTTAACGAGATGTTTTAATTTATTTAGCGAATATTAAAAATTCCAACACAATAAAACTTCAATATATTATTTTTTTTAATTACATATTTGCAACACATTTTTAATTAAATTTTTCTTCTCTGATTTGCAAAAAAATGTCATAAATTAACAAGAGTTTAAATTTTCTAGAATAATTATAATTTATTTCTTTAAAGATAAATATATAGTTAAGTTCTATAAATAATATTTTTTCATGGCAATATATTAATAATAATTACTATATAAAGCATTATATATTTATTGACAAAAAATATAGTTATACGAAAGATAATTCAATCAAAATGAAACATTAGTTTTAAGTAATAAAAATCAAAAGTAAAAATGTAGCGAAACAAATGAAATAATGTGAAATGCTTGAAATAGATGTCAATATAAATCACAAATCGTACAAGTAGGTATCATTAACTTTGTATAGTGCTCACATATTGCAGTATTATAAATCTTAAAAAGGAAAGGATCTTCTATCTTTATTGAGTGAATGATAAAAATCCATTTGACAAATTGTTGTAAATAAATATCGTGTCTTTGTTCTGTACAATTGCGTAGGGTATTATGTAGCATGAAATTATTTTTTTATTCTAAATAAAATTGTGTTTCCATTCAACCCTAAATCCGACGTCTATATAGTTCGAAGTTATTTTCATTTTGTATACATTGTTGTCGTTAACCGTTGTATTATATCCGTGTTGTTCCACGTTGAATTGAGTACAAAATAAACAGGAAACTAAAAAAGAAATACATAAAACTTGACATAGCAAAAAAACCTCAAACATATAGTGATAAGTCGCTTTAAAATCTGACAGCAAACATCACCGTGGCGCATGACCTAAGGTAGCTTTTTTTTACATAGAATTCTCCAGTCTTACAGTATATTATTATACTAGCAGTAACATTTTACATTTATTTTCATATTGAAAGACATCGAGCAGGTTTAATAATTCTTCTTTTTATTAAATCTGTATGAAAAATGAAATGTATCAAATTTTGGGCACAAGTCTCATAATATAACTTTTATGTATTTTGATATTTTAGATAGGATGTTGTGGAGCTGATGGTCCAAATGATTATATATCACTAAGAAGACCTTTGCCATCCCAATGCAGGGACACCGTAACTGGCAACGCTTTCTTTTATGGATGTGCAGAAGAGATGACATGGTTTTTGGAGGATAAATCTCGATGGATAACCAATTTAGCCATGTCAATTGCTGCTTTAGAGGTAATTCTTCTTTGTTTTTGTTCAAATATGCAGTGTTATGCCTTATGAAAGATGAAAGTAAAATGTATAGTGACCTTCTAAGACCTTTTTTAAAGACATTTGCTTAGTACGACCTTTTTACAAAAGACATCAAACCTTTTGTTCGTCGTATATGGCAGACGACCTGGTGGCTGTCGCTAACAAAAAGACCCTTTGTATGGAACTTTCAATACATTGGCCACATTGAACGTGATTATATCGATCCGTGTTTTTTTTATTTACATATAAAGTACATAATGCTTTTTGTACACCTATTATGACGATCAATTTTTCACAATGAAAATCAATTTTTATTAATAAAATCTATCAAACATTAAGTAAAAATTAGATGAAATCTACTTCACTAAAATAATCAAAGTTTTTTAGTATAAATTAAGTAAGAAATATATAAATGCAAGGAAAACGGTTTTTTGATACTTAAACTTCTGCATATTTGAAGTTAGCATGGGAGCTGTGAAATAGAAGTGTAAGCAAATTTTCAACATGCACAATACGTCAAAAGATCACAAATTGTATCTAGTCGAAAACGTTGTACTCAAAAATTGAAAAAATTTTCCTTGTTCACCATAAATAGGAGAAATCTCCAAAAAAATTACAAATTTTAAAATCGCCAATTTTCAATATTTTTTCAATCTTTTAGATAGCATAAAATTGATTCACCATCAATTATAATAATTATTATTTGTATAATTTTATCTAAAATGTCGCATACGAATTTAAAATCTGAAAAAAAGTATGGTTCTTTAGGATAATTTTTAAAATTTTCATTTTCTAAATGGTTAAGCTTAAAAAAACAACACGTAGTATATATTGTGGTACTAAATATTACTAGAAGTTCGTCATATATCATACGTTCAATTGCCATCTTACTATAATAGATCAATACATGTACATATTTCAATGATCAGTTCACCATGGCTATATTGTAGTAAGGGTATAACATTTCTAAATTTTCTCTGCCATACAGACTATTTATAAATTTTTAACCATCCAAAACGTCTGATTACATGTAATTTGATTTGATTTATTTTTATGTTGATTATTGTTATTATTTCATCATCCAAATATTGTGTGTTTTTAACTTCCAATAATTGAATTTGACCAATGAAAAAAATTTGTAAAAAAATTGATGATAAAAATAAAGTTAAAGTGTTCGTAACTATATCGATATTTATGCGTCACAATTTTAATACTTCTAATTACTTTGATTATACTAAAAATTTTGTAAAAAATGTTGGATTTAATATTTTAAAGTTATTTTTTAATGACACATGTTCCATAAATAGTTTTATTTACTTAACTTAATGAGTATTTTTATGTTTAAATGAACTAATACATTATTTTAAGTGTACTGAATTTTTTGATCAAATTACAGTTTCTAAAGTATCTAATTTATGTTCGATTTTTTTTTTATTTTTAATTTGGTTCTAAAATTATAAACACAATTCAATTTTTAAATTATATTACTCTCAAAAATATAAAAAATTAATTATATTAACTTTATTATGCTATAACTTTTTGAAAAATGTATGGATCAATAATATATAAAAATCTTTCATCCGACTAACTATTTAAATCGGACCATTTCCCTATATACGAGGGTAGGGTGAGTTAAAATCTAAGAAATGCATATAGAAAGTTACTAATATAAATAAAGAGTATAAAATAATATCTGATATCAATCAATTCTACTACGATTAACTGTAATTTATTAAATTATTACTGCCAATAAACCAGTAATTTTTTTTTGTATATTTTTATGTAATTAGTTAATTAAATCCATTATTATTTTAACTTCGATGCAAAACTGAGAAGTAATACCTTCTCAGCATTGACGCGTTTTTTTTTTTGCCTGTTACCACTTTTTTTCAGCTCTTACCGAACCGATTTCTTTCAAGGATACGTCAAAAGATCACAAATCAGATATTCCGCTGTCTCCAAGTATGATTGAAAGATATTATCAGCAGTCTTGATTGTAGTATAGGGGTTAGAAGGTTTGTTCATCGTTCATGTTAAATAAACTAAGAAGATTATTATAATTTACAACACAATTTTTTCATGAGAAATAGTATTTATATACATCTTTCATTCGACATACAGACATACAAGTCTGTAGATATCTTTTAACGTATCATTGAAAGTAATCGGTTCGGTGAGAGCTGAGAAAAATCTGTAACAGACACAAAAAATAAAAAACACATCATAGTAAAACTAATACTTTCTCAGCTTCGTACCAAAGCTAAAATTAATATATAATTAACTCATATATTTTAACTTAAAAATTAAGTTCAACACTAAATATTCTGCCAAAAACATGTAAATTATAATAATCTTCTTAGTTTATTTAACATGAACGATAAACAAATTCTCTAACTCCTATACTACAATCAGGACTACTGGTAATATCATTCAATCAGACTTGAAGACAGCGGGATATCTGATTATTAATCAAATAATATACGTGATTCGTTAGGCTTCACTCTATATACGTTTTATATTTATAAAATATAAAAGGAATTTGATGTAATAAAGAAAGGCTAGCGGACTACAGTTAGTACATAAGTTTTAAACGCAAAATCTTTAATCAAATTATCAAAATGTTTTACGTCGCAAATGATTTTAACTTCATTTTCAAATGATAAAAGTAATATTTTTAGTACTGAATACTTAGTAAATTAGTTTTAATTTTTAATTTAAATCTTATTATATCTAAATGCAGTTTAGAAAACTATTTGAGTCATTTCTAATTAAATATGTTTTGATTAAACAAATAAATATTAAATGTCTACTATAGATAGATTAATGACAAATGTGTTGATCATTTTTCGAAATAAGAAGTTTAACTGTAACTTAATTATATAAACAGGAATGAAACTAAAGTTTATAGAGTTTTGGACTAAACTACACCAACTTAACTGAAAGAAACGATTGTATCTATATTTTAAAACGATTATAAATATTTATGATGTAATTCTTAAACCAAATAAACTTATGTTAAAACTTTTCATCATATTATTGCATTAACAATATGGTATAAAAATTAGTATTACTGATATTATTTTTTTCAATTTTAATTTGACGGTACATTTTGTTAAATTCAAAAAACTTACAATTACTAATTATAAAATAAATACTTTAAAAATATTACCTTTTTTTCAGATGTTAATTACTGTCTTAAGTCAAATTTTGGTGAGAGCATTGCAAAAAGAAGAAAAGTTTAACTATAGACGATAAAATTTCATTAATTTTTTTTCAATTTGTTTTTGTATGAGTGAAATAGTAAATCAATGAAAGACATACCAATTTATCCATAATTTTGGTTGTTTCAAATTTACAAAAATTAAATACCTTACAGATTTTTAAAAATCTGTTCATTAATATTGTACAAAATACTTTTGGCGAATCAATTTGAAAAGAAAAATAATAATTTTCAGCAATTCCTCAGATCTTAAAACGAATTATATGTTATTTATTTACATATCATGAATTGCAATAAATTAAATATCCCCGTGATTACCTTTTTTTTAAAAGCAACCAATAGAACAATAGAATTTTCTTGTAAAACCTAATCGAAGAATGTAACTTTTATATAAGTAAGTTAAATATCCAAATAATTTTTTTTTTTTTAATGAATTATATATACTTTGATCTTAATCATTAATAATAATATTATTATTGTAATATTATATAATAATATATAATAGCCGTTATATTATTATAGCAATTATAAAAATTAAATAAAAGACTACCCATAATATGATATTTATGTACGATAAATCTTTAGTAATAATACATTAGTATAATTTTAATTTTAATGTATTAGCATTTATTGTTTATTTATTATTTAATTTTCTATTGATTGTATTATTTTAGTTTGTTTTTATCACTTCATTTTTAATTATTTCCATCTCATAAGTAATGTTTTTACAATCTATTGTTCATTAGGCTTTAAATATAAAATAATATAATAACATAATATAATGTCTATAATAATAACAAAAATATTTTTTTATTTATGTAGACCAAATAATAATGATTTCAGAACATATTTTTGCAAACAATAATACTGATAATTGATTAAATAATTTGCTGTAAAATAAGACTTTTCTTTTTTGTGTGTATGTTACTGGACACGATGATTTCGTTCTTACTGGGTTCCATTTGCTGTAAGATACATCAAAAGATTATAAAACGTATTTAATTGAAGCTATCAATGTTATAATTTTAAAAAATCCCCTCTATTCTCGCAATAAAGGGAAAAATTACAAATTTTATAAAATAGTTAATATTGATATTTTTAGTTTTTTTTTTAGTTTCGTTGCGAAGCTAAGAAAGTATTAGTTTTACTATGATGTGTTTTTTATTTTTTGTGTCTGTTACCATTTTTTCTCAGTTCTCACCGAACCGATTACTTTCAACGATACGTCAAAAGATCAGAAATCGTATCTAGTCAAAAATATTACCTTCAAAAATTGAAAAAATTTCCCTCGTTCCTCATAAATGGGTGATATCTCCAAAAAAATTACAAATTTAAAAATCACTAATTTTCGAATTTTTTTACTTAAAACTACCATAACTTTTTTAGAAATGACCGAATCAATATAATTTTTTTTATAGATACCTTAGGTATTTACCTATCATTTGGTATACTTTTGTGAACATTTGACTCTTTCCCATCCCACAGGTAGGGATTCAAAATGACAACTTTTTCAACTTAACTCTTAAAAGTGTTCCGGAAACTCTGACATTTATATATATATATTAAATTAAAGCTAATGTAATGCACTTTATTATGGAAAATAAAAATTGGACTTCATTTGGTCTTAAGATGAAAATAGTTACCGAATGCTGTTTTTGTGTGAAAATTCTCGATTTTATATTTTACATTTTTTACTTTGTAATGCTTTAACTTATTTAAAGTATATGGATCAATAAAAAATTTTTATGAGTAATAATATTTATATCCCTCTTTCAAACAACATACTTTATCTTAATTAGGATATAAATAAGAAAATAGCAGATCATGTAGCTTTTGGAATAATCCAACAATTTTTTTAAATTAAACACTATCTAAAGATTAGCATCGAAGCGTTTTATATGATTGTGATTTTAATCACTGTCAGATACCATTATACTTGACCCAACTATGCCACGTCACCACTGTGCCGTGACTTCCTTGTGCTGGGTTTTTTGTTATACTTTTCCGTTATTCATTTACTTTAAAGTAATTGATGTAATGATGTAGCACAATCTTTTTTATATTCAAAATTTTAAATAGTGAAAAATAAATTTAACAATTTCTTTCTTATAATTCTTAGTACGCCAAAAATATAATTGAATATCAATTGTTTATTATATCCTTAATTATAGTGGGGTATCATAATTCATACATAAAAAAAATGACTAGTCCAAAACTAATATTTAAACTACGATAAATGTAGCATTTGGTTGTTTATGGTGAAATTTATAGCAAACAATTTGTTGCTTCTATCAGTGTACAAAACGTGTAGTAAGTACGTGAAAACTATTTATCTTAACACAGAAAAAGAAAAATTTTAATCATTCAAACCAAAACTCGGACTTTACATGTTTCCTAGAAAAGAAGTATGTGAAATTATGGCAGCTGCATGACCGAAACAGATTGACGCTCGAATTGTTGTTAATCCGGCAACAGGGATGATTTACACGAGCAGCCGACTTGCCTTGAAATGAAAACTCTACAACCACCAACCCTATAAACTCCCCTCGTCCAGTAGCTCACCAGCAGCTATTTCGTCTTTCTCCACTACTGCCAAGGATGAAAAATCACGTTTTGATCCCAAGCTAGGGATTTGAAACCCCACACAGACGTTACCCCTACTCTCCCATTACCTATTACTCTCCCTGGAGAACTTCAAGCAGGGAGCTTAATGACCTTGGAATTAGTGTCGTTGTAGATAAAAATACCTAAAAGCCCGTTATTAATTACATCATCAAAACCCACTCGAAATTGAACTAGCTACATGAAGGCCACGCATAAGTGTTGTTAAAATAAAAATGATCGTACGTTCACGTATAAGGAAAAATTCAATCAAAACACTTGTGGCAATATTTTTTTTAAATATCATTAACTCTTTTACTACTTATATATTTGAAAATTGTTATGTATTGTTAGGAAAAACTTCTTTATACGTTCCTTTTAGTTGCAACATTTCATACTAACTTCAATGTTTCAATCACATCATTAGTAAATGTTTCCATCATAATAAATAACACTCTGTTTTATTTTTAAAAATCAATTACGTATTATTAATATTTTAATATACTATTTTAAAGAGTGTGTTATATTAACTTTTAAGGTAACATAAAAAAAAATGTACAAAACATGGAAATGATCTTTCTTATCAAAAAATATGAGCAATTGACAAATTTTATAATCATGATAACAATGATTATTGTTCAAATTAATTATTAACCTATTAAAAACAACAAATACTTGTCCGATGGTTTTAATATAATAAAATGTCAATTGTTCAATTGAATACATATAAATATTAAATAAAAGTATTAACTACTAACTTTTTTTATTAAATAATATCTTTACATTTATATGTTAAGACATTATTCAGTATTGGCTTTTTTTTTATTCGAGTAAAAAAGTAACTTTGTAAATAAATTCTTTTATTTTTGAACACAAATCTTAAACTATCAAAGTGTATAGATGACAACACATAAGATGAAATATACCAATACATTTACTATGAACATCTTTTAACCCAACAACTGAATAAAACATTTTCGTTCAAGATCAAGATTTATTACTGGATACCAACAAGCTTCAGATCCATAGAGCTGTGATCTTGAGATTTCAATAAGAATTTAAACAACTCTATTATGTTGATTCTGTCCCCGTTTAAGCTTCTTTTCGATGTATTTTTTTATAGCCCAAATGCTTCTTGGCATTAATGTTTATCACAAATATTCTCAATTAAATTGTTTTTTTATTATTATTTATTAAATTAATAATACAAAATGAAATTGTAGAAGATAAGGTTTCTGAAAAAATGATATTTAAATAAAATAAAATAAATCTATAACCTTGTAAGCAATTTGTTCTTAAATATTTTAAAATAAATAAAATTTTGCAAAAAAAAAAAAGTTAACTCAAGTTTTCTTTATAAAGTTTATATCTATGTAAAACGTGTGTGTTTATATTTTTTATTTCTATGACAGATAGAAAAAATAATCTCAATGTAGTTTTTATAATATTTTATCACCATAGAAACCATTTTTGTCATTGTAGATCATATTGTTTGCGTGTATGTGGTAGACTGTAGTTAATACTCGTTTGTCATCAGGGCTACTAATATATTTTACCACTTTCACATGTTTTTGGTCAATCACAAGTCACAACCCATGTCCATTATTCTCTCATGACAGTACATTTAATTGAGTACTCGTAGTTTGTACGTTAGGCGGATGTACAGTCTTTTAGTTTCTGTTTTTCCATCGATTTTTAATTGGACGTCCGCTGGATTTGTTCGTAGAACGACGAAGACTAATAGTTTTAGGGCTAGAGCAATTTTAGGACGCTGTCAGATCGAGAAGAGTTAATCTAAGGACAAAACTGCAAGTCTTGCGTACGTGTGTTATGTGAATGGACAGGAGAAAAATAATGGAATAGAAAATAATTTAAGTGGAGAAATTGTCAAACTTTTATTTTTCCTTGTTCCTTCTATACCTGTAAACTCAAACATCATGAGTATTACGCAATACAATTGAAATATAACAATACAATGACACGTTTTCATCCCGTTCCTGTTCTTTTCTATCAATTACTTGTCTATTGGTTTTATTGGACCTATTGTTTCCCGTAGAAAACTTATTATAAGTATAATTGAATTTTAGGGATCTAATATATTTTTTAAATGAATCATTCTTATAGGTATAAAATAATAACATAAATGAATTGATAATTTCAATCTAAGTTTTAACTTTATTAGAAAAAAGATTAGTTGAAAAAAAAACAAAAATATCTAAAATTTAGTAATAGATGCTCAACAAATAGTTATTTAGATATTTGTTAGTAGAATTCTATTGAGGCTTACAGAAAACATTTAATTAAAAAATTAACATTGACTACATTTGAAATTAATTCAATTGTTCAATTCAAAATTATAACGATATATTAAAATAACAAAATGATTATATTAATTAAGAACATGCACTTTTGAATATATTTTCCATGTAAATCTAAAAGTACATTACATTTAATGGTAAGAACAGTTTAAATAATCGTAACTTAATGCAATAATATCTCATCTTTATTATTTAACGAATGGGAAACCAATTGATTGTTTTAATTTACATAAGCTATCGGCATGACATAGAGTCGAACAACCTAAATAATACCAATGAGCTACATCGGATCACATCGGTTACGATCGTAACGCGCCGGCGTTTTGCCTGGTCGATCGAATCAAAACACCCGGCAGACGGCGACGCATGCTACAGCGCACGATACCGAGACTTCAAGCGAACAGTCCGCTGGCAAGCCCCACCACCGTTGGGTCTATCAACGATGATTTCGCTGCTGCTAGTAATACCGTACCGTTACCGCGACCGCAGTTATACCACCGTGATAACAAAACATTTTGGTAACGCAAAATCGTAATTTTATTAAGGAATTGTTTTTGTTGTCGTTTTAATTCGATTGCGATTAATATTTTCAATGTAATCGTTAGTTTTTCGAGTAATTTTTTTTTTGAAAAATAAAAACCAAACGAAAATTTGATGATTTGCGTGTAGTGATCATTCGCGTTTATAGGCTAACTTTAAAATACGTGAAAAACATTTAAATCAATCGATGTTAATTTTTTGATAATATAAAGTAATAAACTTAGTGTACTGATTCATTTACATAAGTGTCATTTTAAAAATTGACAAAAAAGTCTTCAAACATCATGCAAATGTGAATTTAATCACCTTATCAAAAACGTAAGTGTGATAAGAATGTTATTTCCCTAGTTTTTATTAAGAAAAATATTTTTGCTTAAAAAACAATGATTTTAAGTGTGATTATTTTAAACGATTATAAGCTAATTTAAATATTCAATTTAGGGCGCTTTTAATGAAGTGTTTTATTAAAAATGATGTAATTATAGTTATATAGTCATAATTGTTAATCATAATCTATTCCAATACTGAAAACTTACACTACATTAAATAAAACATTAATTTGTTTAGGAAAATATCGTACGGATATTCCAATATGGTACATTTTTATAATACAACTAAAATATAAATAATATAATGATTCCATTCAAGTGATTCTTTTAACGATAACAACTCGATTTCTCTTAAAATATTTAGTTTTTTGAAATTTTTTTTTTTTTTAATTTTCTTAAATACATACGTATTTCATTTTATCTGTTATAAAATATTTTTAGATTCATCTCTTATATCTTATAAGGATGTCAACTTTATTGTTTTAAATAGCAACATACATATTTAACTAGTTTTTAATAGGAAATAATATATTTAAGAAAATTACTGATAGATAAAAACTTATAGATCAGTCCCAGAAGCTTCGCATCGAAGTTAAAAAAATTACAGTTACATTTTAAATCAGCGTTCGATAATTAGTTTTTGAGATGGTTCAAATAATAGCTACTAAATAGATTGTATGCAATCTTAAATCAACAGTGACTTGATTCAAAAATTATATAATTTTGTTGAAATAATCTCCCTACTACAAAAATGATCACGTATAAAGAAATGAAAAATAATTTAATAACTTACAAATAATTAATTCTTGTGTCATAGAAAATTTTATATATTCAAAAAATCAATAATTTTTTAAATATTGATAATGATTACGAGACTGAATGATAACAAAATAAAATAAAATTGCTTTATATATTTGACATTAATAACTAGGACTCATATAGCAATTGAAAGTGTTATTTTAAGGGTTATAATAAACACAGAAAAATATTATTTATAACGCTTTAATATGCATAAAAAAAGTCGAAGTATTTAAAAAAGAGATTTTAACTTATATTTTATAAAAATATTTTACATTTTCAATTTATATAATTTTTTTAAATTTAAAATAATTTAAAAAATTTTTGCAATTTTAGATTACTTTTCATAATATCTTCTTTTATTATTTAAGTTAGATGTATATGTATATTTTATAAGTTAGTAAGTATTGAGTATCAACGTAAATAGCCAAGTGGAAGTATACATGTGTCTTTAATACCCAAATATTTTTCCTATTTCTACTCGCACATTAATTATTTATAACATTTTTACCCAAACATACTATGAAAAAAAATTATTATATACTTTTTATATGCTTCATAGCATATAACAAAATATTAAATTTTAAAAACGTTACGCTCTTTTTACTGCTAAAATAAGATTAGTTAAAAAGCTGATATAAATTTTAAATCAGCGGCCTTTAAATCAATAGGAAAATTTCTAGATTTGTTTGTCTTAAATTATTAAATATTTGTTAAGAGAAGCCACTTGATTTCAGACCACTTTGTCCTGTAGCAATGAAGTTAATATGCCAATATGCTTTGTATCTGGAATTTTTTCTTGTTACAATATTTGAAAAAAAAATAGAGTTTTATATGTTTTGACTTCCCAGAAACTTTTCTCTATAACTGTACTAAAGTAACGGTAAATACCAAAAATAAGCGAAATAACACTTAAACCTTGAAATATACAAAATTATGCAACATAAAATTTCGTATTTAGCTTATTGGTTTGCTAAGAAAAAAATTATAGCGTAGGTATTCCTAAAAACTTAAAAAAATATAAAAAATATGCAAATGTTATGAGCTCTGTTAATAACGAAACATTTTTAATAAAATATTATAGACTTTCAGGACATTGCAAACAAAAAAGTTAATATAAAAAAGGCCGTAATGCAGTATCGTCGTCTATTTACTTTGGAATTTCCTGTATTTTTTAGTTTCCGGGGCACAACATTAAGATAATAGTAGTCACTAGGAAAATTTTACATTTTGATAGTAAAAAAATTTAGTTACTAAACGAGAAATTAATATTTTCCAATATCACGCAAACTTTTCTAAGGTTAATGTTTTCCAAGAACTCTTTCGTAAAAATAAAAGGGAATTTCTAAAATTTTTAAATATATGCAATTTAGTCTGCTTTAAAGACCGTACTTCTATAAAAAATTTAACGAGATGTTACGCTCTGTGTACGTTCAGATTTATTTTCGCATATAAAAATATTCTCTCTAGATGGTTACTTACTAATATTTTACTACTGTACATAACTTGATGGTAGGTTCTAATTTATTAAGTACACTGGTTATTAAATTCGATTTTTTTGTATTTACAGAATCAAATTTCAACATAATGGCTTCAAAGTTAGCTATGTCGTCAGTTATATTTCTGACGTGCATAGTATGTTACTACAATAGTTTGTACTGTGATTTTGTATTTGATGATATCAGTGCAATCAAAGACAATCGAGATTTGAAACCACAAACTCCTATTTGGAATTTGTTTTATAATGACTTTTGGGGCACGCCTATGCATAAGGTTCGTACCTAATAGAAATATTTAAAGAAAATACAGACTTTTAGCTTAACAATCTATTTTGTTGGTAATCGTAATTACAATAAAATGATTATATTTTTTTTTACAGGAACAAAGTCATAAGTCTTACAGACCTTTGACCGTTCTTACATTTAGGTGGAACTATATGATCCATCAATTAGATCCTATGGGATACCATTTGGTGAACATATTACTTCACGCAATAACCAGCGTGCTCTATTATAGGTAAGTTAATGTATCCAAATGTATCATTTGTTTGTTTTTGTACGTGTTTTACTCGATTAAGATGTTGGGTACAAAACATATTAGTTTCATGTCATTCATTTCTTCAGTAATTAAAGAAACTATGTTACAATTTATCCGTTCTCCACCAAACAAATCTTCAAATCGTGTTAACTGCTACAACTTTGTTTTCGCATGTGTGAACCTAGTTGTATAACTGTATAGAATTTTCTTCAATATAAAACCCACCCTTCATGATAAAATTATTAATCCCGGTGTAACAGTATCCAAAAAGCAAAACTTTGTAGAAACTTTGTACCTCTGAAAACTGCTATGGGCCCTAGAACTTTAGATGACACTTTTCAACCTCGTGTTTGTATACACGTGTGTATCTGCGTTTCTTTGAATTTAAATTTACACACCTCGTTACTCATCTCACAATTTTATTAACCTACAAATAAAGTCAATGTTCTTTGACAAGAATTTTGTTGAAGCTACACTTTTTGAATCTATTTATTGCTTACGATTCCAATAAAATATTTGTTACATAATAAGTAGCGAAGAATAATTGCAATTATGAACGAAATAAAAAAAAAACTTATTTTTCTATTTTTTAACAATATTATTACCAAAATTAAGCTCCCTCTCAATTTTACTATTTTTGTTATAATATATTGATAAATGACAAAAAATATATGCGATGTTATTAAATTAAAAGTTGATATCTTTATATATTTTGGTAACTTATAATAATAAACATATCGTGTGATAATAAAATAATACTACGCTACAATTCTAAGAGCAAGTGAACAAATAGTATGTTTTTAACAAACGGCTAAAAATTAATTAGTAAAATTACAAAGTGATCGGTGTGTTATAATTATTACTTTATATAATAATAGTATTAATATTATATTAAAGTTGTTTAGGAACAATTATTTTTATAAAATTGAAATTTAAAACATGTTTATAGATATACTTAGATAAATTTTATTAACAACAATCACACGGTATATCTTCTTTTTTTTTTTGTAAATGTTAATTTCTCATTAGTTGTTATTTTACCCTACGTGATTTTAAAGTTATTATTATAAAACCTGTTTGCTATTTTAATGGTATCAATTTATATTATGTACTTAAAATATAAAATTATTTTATATAGTAATTTTACGAGTATTAGAGAATTCCTTAAATTAAGTAAAATTCCGTAAATATGCTTAAATTTTTAATTGTTTTTTCTCAAACTAATAAAATTCTTATTAAAAAAAAAAAAAATAGAATAATATATATTATGCATTATTCAATTTATAATCAATACTTATTATTTCTTTATAAGACCATAATAAGCTTATTACCTTATATCAAAGATACTCAATTATAACCAAATGAAAACAGAATTTCATTGTGAAATAACTATTGTAAATTAAAGAGCTTTAATAAATATCTTTGGGGCGTTAGGTAATTTGTCAAGAAAACGATCAAGACTAATATTGATATAATGCTTTGTACACATTAAACAGTATTAGTTTTTATTATTTTTCATTTTAAAAATAAACTCTTTTCTTACAACTTTCTTAATCATTTATTAATCAAGAAAATTAGGATATTATTTTTTGAACCAAAAATACTGCTTGTGAATAGTTAGCTCTTATGACATATTTCCTTTGTTTAGTTCAATTATAGTTATTGTATTTTTTCTAAATCAAAATTTAAATTACACTGAATTTTCAAATAACATGAATTAGTAGCAATGAAAGTTTTTACACATTACTTTATAAAACATTTATGGTTTTTTATAGATATTAAAATTTATCTTCGGTTGTTTTAAAATTATCTAGTAATTATTTTGCAATTCGTAAAGAAAATTATTTTAAAGATCTATTATTTTGATGGGGAAATAAATTGTATTTATTATGAGTTTTTTTTTATTATTTAGACAAAAAAAAATATACTTAATATAAACATTTAGACTTTTTGGCACAATGCTAAAAATATTACATATTGATTATTATTTAAGGCTGGGTCAAAGAAGTGTTTTAGAATTAAAATCAATAGAACAATTCGGAAAGTAATAAATTTTAATTTAAAAATGCAAATAGTGGCATCTATTTGCAGTTTTAAATAAATACCGTTTAAAATAATTATTATATTTATTTTATTTCTAAAAATAAATTACATTTATTTATTTATATTATTTATTAATAATCTGACTGCTTATTGCTTTAAAAATAAATAATTTAAAAAAATGCTGCAGTATTTTATTGTTATAATTGTTCAAAGTAGAAATAATTTAGAAGTTTCAAATAGAATTAAACTGTTTTAGAAAACAATCTGAATAATAATAGTTTTGACGTGGATACAAGTTAGAATGCATTAAACGACGAAAAGTCATTTAAGTGCAGTTTCTGTGGTATTTGTTAAAAGGAAAATATTGCTCAGATTCTAATTTACTTAACTACTCTACTACTCGCATTGTTTAGTATTAATGAGCAAATAACTTTAACTATTGTATAGACTATTATTTAATGAATAATATTTGAGACAGCATCGTAATTGTTCTTTAGCTGTTTGGAAATTGTTATCATAATGTACTTTTCGCATCATAATGTTGTTTTTTCCTTCTCTTGACCACATACAGATGTGTTTTCACACGTTTTCAAAGTCGACCCTCGTTGTTCTCTTTTGTGTTTCAATAAATGTTTTATTTAGGTGTAAGAAAAAATGTATTCTCCATAATCTTTATTCTCCAAGCGTAAATGTTTTATTTAAGCTCTTTATTCATAAAATATTTGAATGACTTTGAGTAACGTATTTTTTTTAATCATTAAATATTTTCATAAATATTGAAAAATAGATAATTTATTGGCATATTTTTTTATCAATGTCACTATAATAATAATAATACACGACTAGAATAAATGAAATTTGTCGTGTTAAATTGAACGTATTAATTGCAAAGTTTGTAAATCTCTATAAAATATTTAACACTTAAAATAACTTGTAAACTAAATAAAAATTGCACTGTTCTTATAAAAACCAAACAATTATGAATGAGGATTATCTTAAATAGTTTTATGTAACGGTAAAAAATTTAATTATTTAAGGAAAATTTTTATTTTGTTAATTACACATAATTTATGTAAGAATTTTTAGGGTTTATTTCTTTAGTACTCAGTTCTGAAGCCTCGATCATGCATTTATAAGTTTAAGACCATTACTTAAATATTATTAAGTTACCATTTATATTTCATGTATATTTTAGCATATAGAAATCAATAATATTAACAGTATTATTTAGACTTTACTTTATTCGAAATTTTGTCTAATATTCAAATGTACGAATTGATTTTTTATACAAAATACACATCAATTATTTCATAATGTATATAAAATATTTATTTGCATAAAAATGTTTATTGGACATATTATATTCATTCTGATTGTATCGTTTGATTTATCAATCTATTTTGACACATTTCTCATGAATAATATATAAGGCAAAATATTAAATTTTAATAAATAAACCTTATACTTTGTTCTAATAATTTACATTTTTCTATTATTTATTTACATTTGTTTTTAATAAAATAATAAAAAAATAAAATAAAAGTATCTGTTATAATAGTTCCTTTAACATTAATGCTATTTGTTTAGTAGGCCTTTAATTAAAGAAAACCAAAATAACGCTTACTTAAAAACTTTCTAAACCTGAACCAATTTCTATTAAATGTTTTACCAACTATAAATTTTCAATTGCTTTTCTGTAGCGTCATTTTCTATAGTAATTCATTTATTTTTGTTTTATTTTTTAGTGTTTGTCACACTATACTGGCATCTGAATTTACCAGTTTTATGGCTGCTATACTCTTCGCTATACATCCAATACACACCGAAGCCGTAAGTACACTTACTCATCTTTAACTTATTTTAGTTCGAAAACTTACTTATATTTTTGAAACCAACTATTTTATTTAAATATTCTCGATAAATAGAATATTTTATAACATAAATATACAGTAAAGTTTTGTGTTATCATTGTTAATAAAAATATTTAAATAATGATTGTAAAAAATATGTTTAGGTATTTAAGTAGTTAAAATTTTAATATTAATATCTAAAATAACTTGAACATTTATTTTTTATTTTTTCAAAAAAAAAAAAAAAAAAACTTTTTGAATAATAAAAAATTTATACATGGCTTTAAATTAAGAACCGTTAATTTTTTATAAGTTACAACTTCCTAATCTCCCTGATTGTCAGCTTTTTGCCGCGTAAACTATAAATAGAATGGTTACTGGATAAAAGTTATTTACATTGACGAAATTCTCTTATCATTCTAATACTGAATTAGTATTAGATTGACACAAAATTTTAAATTCTTGGCCGATGAAATTACAAATTATATCCGTATATGGTTAATTAAATTTATAGAATTTCATGTCTAAGAAATAGGAACATTATTGATGCCCAACACTGATTGCGTTTTGATTTGAAAGAAGCCCTTCGGTTAAATTGTTACGGGAAGTACTGTTATGATGTCAATATACTAACATCATTATTGCATTCGACAAAATTATGCATTAGCGTTCAAATTTTGGCTTGTAAAGAAATAAAGGCGAAATACATTAGTGATCTCTCATGTATTATCGCCATTCCTGTGTCGGATTTTCAATAACGTTCTAATGGAAGCAGATATTGATAGAATGTTTGTATACACGTGTGCTTTTAAAATGTATTACACACTTCTTATGTTCATACACATATATATATGTATATGAATATATTCCTTTATATAAATAAATGACGACTAAAGGTTAGAAAAAGATTTAAAGATATTGTATATGTGTATGTATATTATGCACCAGCAACGGTTGTAAATGTCCATCAATTACACAATGTACGTGCTTGGACCGCAGATATTGTAGATCTAGTGTATTCTCCAATATAATAAACCTTTGAAATGTTATTCAACGATTTTGCACGATTTTTGATGGTCATCTACTTTGGCATTCAGAGTACACTATAATGACACCCTCCAGCGTTTTAACACGAATACGCCTATAGTTTAAATCCGTTTTACACGTCGTATTCTCTTGGCGAATTTTCGGTTTAATCCTTTTTTTAAGCCGCTTATTTGCATTACAACCTTTAATGTAATTAAACTAATGCTTGTTTACTTACCGAAATTCCTAGTGCAATCATTTTAACGCATAATGTGCTGATATTATTGTAAGTTGGATTTATAGTGTTGTCTGTGTCCCAAACTTTGATGAATTTCTAGATTTTCTAAGACCTAGAAAATTTATGTCTCACTTTAAAAAAATCACTTAATTTATTTAGTGTTTTATTTCTATTAAAATATATTTAAAACAAGTAGCATATATTTGTTAAATATCTTATATTAAAATTTAATACGCTATGTTATAAAGAGTATTAGGTAAATTTATGATATTTTGCTCTTTCTCATGAGAATAAAAACATATTCAACTAAACATTTTCATAGCAACATAATTTTGATATAACCCCATATTGATTGAAAAATTTGTGGAGAAAATAGTCATTTTTATTGTTAGTATTATAACTTTGAATTTGAAGAAGTTCAAGAAAATGTATTAGAGTATATTAAATTCGTTGTAATATTATTTTTTAAAACTACATTATTGATATTAATTTTATTTAGAAGCTTGTCAAATTTTGTTAAAATACTTCTTTCAGAAAATAGAGTCCATTAAATGTACAACGAAAAAAATCAATAGTATTTTTATTTTATATATCGCAATTCTATGAGAAAAAAATGAAAGAATGTTGTTAATATTATTTAACTGTTACTCCAATCTTTAGAAATCATAAAAAAACTTGTATTTACAAATTTGTAAAATAAGTATTTTTTAGAGAATTATTTAAAAATTACTTATCGACATTTATTATCCTTGTAAAAACAGTTTTCACTCTCTTTTTGAACCAGGTTGATTGGATTTGCCTTACAGGTAAAATTTAACTTTTGGGTGAAAAAGAGGAGTGCTTGACAAACACTAAGCTAGAATTCAATGGCTAATATATTAACAAATTGTCGTTTAGTTAGTTGAAAAACCATGGAGCCTTTGTCCAGTAGTAAATTTACAAACACTTTTCCATTCACTCTTAAGTATCCACTATGTTTAAACAAACGAAAAACTTGAAGTATAAAAACTCCTTCAGTTACGTCCCTTGTTGTCGTTATATTTAGTATTTGCATATTGAAGTGGGATACTTTTCGCCGGCTTGTTATCAAAATCGTTTGTGAATTTTATTTTGCCGGTGTTATACACGAGACACACGACGCTTATGTGATTCCTCTCGCGTAATAATATTGCAAAAATTTACAAAAAAATTTAATACATAATTTAAAATGTTTTTACGGCTATGGTTTACGCGTGAAGTGTATTGTCTTGTATCAATTTTATGTTGGGTGATATTTTATTTCAAATGAAAAATCAAAAGGTGTATCTATGTCAAATAGATTGTTTTACATGATTGACAGAACAAAAAATTGCAAAGCATCCCTCCTATGTGCGTTTGACATTGGAGTAAATACTTGTCATAAATCAATGTTCGCGTGTATCTATCTCGCGTTTTTCACTAATAAACTGTATAAAATCTGCCAACTTTTTTTTTTAATCATATTAAATTTATACGTTCGAATAATCAGTGTAATCCTATGCCAGGAAAACAGTTAAAATGTGTTCAGCGTACATAACATTACATTATACGCACTAGTAGCAACCACTTAAATGTATTTATGTATGTTGTAAAATGATGTCTGTTAGTAATCCTATCTGGTTGTAAAATACCAAACCAAAGCGGAAACCAATTAAATCTCATCCGTGAAGCTCATCAAATTTTCCCAATCGTGAAATAATATCATTTTGGGCTTATGAAAGATTCAATAACATTAAAACTATTATAACACCATCCCCTTTAGTTTTTAGTATATATATTTTTTTAGTTGAAGCTTGTTATATCCATTTTACGCCGATTTAATACATATTAGCAAATATATATTCATGTTTCATGTTCATGAAAATCTATGTTTAATTAAATTATCATTAGTTTATTACATTTAATTGTGGTACCCTTGTATTTTGGAAAATAAAAATAATGTGATACGAAAGGTTTATAACAAACATATTAATCGTGATATTCTACGTAGACATAAAAAATCAAGTTTTATCAAATTCACAAATGTTTTTGACTAGTAAATACGAACCATAAATAGTTGTACTAGTAGTATAATATTTTAATGTTATTGCGTCGCTTTAATTACATTTCAAGAATAATGGGGTAGGAGTGTCGAGTAATTGTTATTTAACATGCACATCTGGACCATTAGTGAATGACCAAACATTAAACTATTCTAATGCAAAAAATCATTAGGAAGATACATAAGTGTTGCACATATATAAAAGCAAACCACACTTTTAATATAATAATCATAAAATAAATTCACTGATTGATTTTTAAACATAATGAATTAATATTCAAAACCTAAGAGTCCGATAATAATTCTAATTTAATTATCTAGGTAACGGGTGTTGTTGGACGAGCAGAAACGTTATCTTCAGTATTCTATTTGTCCACGTATCTTTTATACGTTGAAGCATCAAAAAGAAAAAAATACCCAGGTAAATATAATTTATTTTAATATGACTAACGTTAAATTGATAAAAAAATTATTATTTTGTGGGCATTATTAAAAACAAACGTTACTCCGTACATAATCAAAATTTTATTTTAGAATAATAACACATTTTTTTATAGGATGGAAACATTTGATGTTATCGGTAGTATTTTTGGGCATAGCTATGCTATGCAAAGAACAAGGAATCACAGTTGCTGGAGTCTGTGCTCTCTATGAAATTTTCGTTGCTCAGAAAGTAAGTAACATTTTTTAAAGTTATAGCTTTTGCGTACTTAAAGAGTAACTTACTATGATGAGAAAATGTTTGAATAAAATTCTCACAATTAATTTCAAGATTTCTAACTTATAATGTGTAAATTACTAATGTTATTCATTAGTTTTTTATTCATTATTTAGTCATTTTCGTTTTGAATTTCCTAACAATTACATTTGCACAAATTTTTCTTAAGTTGTTTTGATTTCTACTTTTCATGTATTTTTACTACTTATACTTTTAAAGAATAATATGAACTGTTATTGAAATAAGGGTTGTTAATAACAAAACGTTTTATAATTTACATTTTTTCATTAATTTCATAATATTTTTATGTTCATTTCATACACGATTTCTTTTATTGTTTATCATCAAAAATATGGTTTTTAAAGAATTTACAACATAGGATAAAATGTCATACTTAATAAACTCTAAGCCCATTTATATTTTTAGAGTTTGTACGAAATAAAAATGTATTTCATATATAATTGAATGTCAAGTACAGTGTTTTGTAAAATAAATGCTATTTTTTTTTTTAATCGATTTGTTCGAACATAGTAAAATAACATGCTGATAAAGCTAAGTCAGGGGTCCAATTAAATTCTAATTAACCATTTTAACGTTGATAAATTATGTCTGTAGAATTTTTATATCCACATCAAAAATTAGTAATGTTTTTGTATTAAAAGATTAATTAAAAATACAAACTTTATGCTATTCAATGAAATCATTCATTTTATAAATGATTTAATTTCAAATTGAATGATGAATCGCAAATATATATGTACAGAAATACAATTTATTATTGTGTATACAATTTTTTACTGAAAATTCAATTTATTTTTACAATTTGAATTTTGTGTTTGAATCATAGAATCGAAAACTAGATAAGAATTTCATTAACATTAAATGACTAAATAATTATTTTATTCAATTAGTTTTTTCGATTCTTGAAAATCATTATCAACTATCAAACATTCAAAGTGTGTATAAATGGGAAACTTTAAACGGCAATAAATATTTTCTAAAATTCCTAGTTAGGTGTTGATGGATTCCGTTAGTCATTATTGTTCTGATAGAAGGGGTGTGACTCAAAAATAAATCAAATCAACTCACTTCACACTAGATCGGGACAATGTTATTAATCCCAACATAAATCCCTACAATATTAATGAAATTGCTAATACACGTCTAGAGCAGACAGCGTTATAGCTGTCAGGCTTACTGAATCGTCGTCGCCAGTAAACCGTTTTATTAATATAAATCAAAACGAAATAGCAATTTAAGCTCTGTTTTAGTAGTGCAAATCTATGTATGTTGTCATAACTAACTACTGCTTTGTTTTTTCACCACGAGTATTTGAGAAAAGAAAACCGCCCCCTCCCTAATATAATCATCAATTTACTGTAGCAAAATAATCAAATTGAACAAAATGAACAAAATGAAGTAAAATACTTTTATTGCTTACATTGTTTTTAATTTAATTTTACGGTTTAAGAACAATGCTTGCACGATTTGAGTCAAAATTATTCTAAACAAACCCTTTACCGAATTAGAATTATTTAATTAAATAGTCCCTTATAAATATATGATTTAATAAGCAAAACAACCTTTTTTTGGGAAATCATAAAAATGTTTCGAATGCTGTACAATTTTTGTTAATGGCGACTTATTTTTAATTAATATTCAAATATAACCCTTTAGTTGTCATTTGGAATACTTGAAAATTTTAATTTTTAATCGTCCGTATTTTTTGTCAATAAATTGCTTGAGCTATATAATAAATCAATTCAATGAAAATGCTAAACGTACCTGCTCTTGAAGTAAACATTATTTTTAATTAAGTTGATTGCTTAGGCTGATAAATTATATAGCACAAAATTCCTTTAATTTTTAACGTTTAGAGCGAATTTCAATGCCTATTCTATTTTCAAAATATTGAAATTAAAATAAAAGTGATTCAGAAGGCTCTATAAAGACTTTTTACACAAAATATCAATTCAATTGAATCGTCAATGAATGCCATCGGTTAATACTGTGAGAAAGCCCGCCGAATATCCAGTTATAAAGTACACAAGTACAATGGCTACGATTGAAATTTATGTAAAGCGAAAAAACTTTTTACATTCCCCAAAAAAATAATATTATATCGGATATTACGCCGTTAAATCTCTTTGCTGCTTTTTTACTGCTACTCGACATAGGAGAACACGGTCATAAACTCGTATATGTATGTACACAAACACTACAACAATAAAAGCTCCACGGTGACCCTCGTTGGCCATAGGAATCGATTTCGTTACTGCCCTCGCTAAGTACGTTTAAATAGAAATGAAATCCGTAAAATATGCGTGCATATATTTGTTATTAACCCTTTTTTTATATCTTAAAAATTTTGGGAAAAGGGATTTAGGTTGACCAACGAAAACCGACCGCATTTAAATACAACGAATGTGTTACCGAGAGAGAGAGATGACACATGTATAAATTATTAAAACTCTCTTTAGTACTCCTTCAGTATTTTCGCGAGGGGTACATAGATGGTTTACATTTATACCTACAGAAAGTGAAATTTGTGTTGGCAATATTTTCTCTCGACCCTTCGACAATATATTTGTTATATATGCATAAAATATTATTCAACATGACCGCTAAAGCATAATATTTTGATAGCTGTTGAAATTATCAACTCTACTGAAAAAAAAAAAAAATTAAAAAACACTTAATTTTAAAAATGTTAACAAGTTTCGGTAAAACTTTTTCTTTTGAATAATTATGTTTAAAATAATGAACATAAGAATGGTATGCATTATGAATGTTCTCAACAGGGTATTAGTAATTCTGGTGAAAAAACGAAACATATTTTAATTATTTTACGAGGATGGTAATTTAGTTTATGTTTATAAATTAACATTATAAAATCTTGTAACTGAAAATTGATTAAAGACTTCTAATCAAATTTATTTCGTATCTTCAAAGCTTTTTTAACGTCAGTTTTGCATAATTGTATGCTAATAACTTTCTTTGATTATCTTAAACAAAATTTCTCTTTTACCTTTGTTATAAAAACGAATTCACTTTATTATTTTTAAATTTTATTTCCCTTAATATTTTATGCCATCGATAGTAAACTTTTTTTTTTTTAATGTTTTTTATCATTAAAAATGTCTGGATTTATATAGTCCAAAATTCTAACTTGACTAGGCTTTCAAATAACCCCTCAAAATTTTTAATTCTGAGTTTTTAAACTTAACTTTTTTATTATATTTTCGTCTCTTGTCAGGTTGGTTAATTTTATTTTATTGTACACAAGCGATGCTATAAAATTGGCATAAAAAAAATTTACTATTTTTAAAACGAATGTATTTTAAAATACCTAATGTCTGAGCAATGGTTTTATATTTGAGTTTCGATAACTTTTTAAAACAAACATATATCAATTATTTTTTTACACTAAGCAAAACATTATAAATAAAACTATCCTTTTCCTAATTTAAATGGACGATTTACTTTCGACATTATTTTTAAGTATGTATTCATTTTTCGAAAGTTTATTTTCTACTCTCTATTGCATTAAAACATCAAATGATGACATGCAATAATTGCTAATGTTATATAATATTGCGTTAGTTATTCATGACAGGTCATGATAATTAATTCAAAGCAAATTATGGTGATAAATAACGAAAATTATTTTTAATTTCTAAATTTGCATAACATTATAAGCATTGATGTTTAAAATTGACAAGTTGTTTAAGTTTCGCCGTTACCGATCTCCGAATTTATCTATTAAAATTTAATTAAAAAAAACAAAAATTAAATAGTATTAAACTATATAACGGCGGATTATGTACTTAATTTTCCTATGAGAGAAGTAAATTAATTTTATAAAAATACAGAACATGGTTTTGAAACAACACAATGGGCAAGCGACGAAAAGGTTGCGTGCTCGAAAGCAGCCCGGACAAAGATGGAGTTAATACGTGAACAGGTCGTTACCACCGCTACTCGGCGAGCATTGAGGTTAATTTTTCACTTTTATGGACGAAAACTTTTCTTTTGCTCGTTGTTAGCACTCGAATCCGATGATCCTAGTCCTGCTAGATTATGCGGTACGAGTTGTTGAAATTTTAAGCCCGCACCGGTGCGGTCGTCGTCTAGGTCATCCGGTGCACGCGGAGCGAAGTTATTGTAGTTATTATTCGCGGCAACGGTGTACATACATTTTAACAATACGCTACTAACGGGTTACAGTGGTGGCATTGAATGAAAAGCACACGAGTTAATTACTAAAGTAAAGCGACATGACTAACAATACTTTACGGCTCAGCCTGCGCGACCCCTCCGCCCCCAGCGATACCTTTCATTCGGCATTCGCGCGTACATTGTATGTTCAACCGACACTATAAACCCTCAGTTAGTTTTCCCCCTCGTCGTCCAAGTCACATTACACCCACACATGTATAAACACCCTTAACGTCACGTCGTGCAGTAATTACACGTATAATTGTACGATCATTACGGCTACATCCGACCATGGGAAAGTCGGCTTCCGGTGGATCTGTTGGTCCGTATATTAAAGAGCGGCGCTCTCGCGTCGCAATTCTTTAAGACAATAAAACTCTATTTGAATTGATGCCGGTACTCGAGACTGTTAATTGGAAACAAGCTTTCTTCTATACAAACAAGACCTCTTGCGAGCTGAATAATTCACTAACGTACACATACACCGTTGACTCGGACATTTCAAGCTTGGCTGAGCACGCCGCCCTCATAATGGCCAATCTAACCCGAGGTTTTTACCCTATTGCCCGAACTAGGCACCCGTCGTCTACCCTCGTCGTGCCGATGATAATCTAAGAGGGCAGAGGGCATTTCGATTTCCATACACACGAAAACGACCTCCGGGACGGTCGGGGGTGGTGGCGACGGCGTTTGCTCCTTTATTTCCAAGTCCTCTCCGCCATAAAAGAACTGTGCTAGGATACAAGAAAACAGCAAGACATGCTTCCGGCAAAAAAAAAAACCTATTCTTCAGTGAAATATGTCTGTTGTGTAAAAACAAGCCGCGTGTTGTCATTTATAAAACTCAAGGGTGACACAAAACCCTCAGCCGTATTCAACTTGCCGTTCGTACGTTGTATGTTTAATAATATTTCGGAAAAGCAGTAGCTTTTTATTTTCGTTGCCTCTACACGATGTGGTGAATATAACGGCTTTTGTTCTTATAGTTTATACACTGCGTAAAACATATAAAAATAATTTGTTACCGATCGACATTACCATCGAATATGCCGTTTAATGTATCGCTAAAAATACAAATGGTTTATATTCCATGCAAATAAATACCTCATCTTTTAGCTGATAATGTATTTTGCATCGTGACTATTTATGATAAATGTATTTCGAAAAGCACTTAATACATATAATGGAAAAAGACGTCAAAAATAACTGAGCTTTTCCAGAAACAATAGAAAAAATCATTTTTCACTTTAATGTGACTGTGATTTTTCCCATCGTTCATTAACCAAACTGAAAATGTATTTCGATAAAATAGAACTATAAATTAACTACACTGTTTGAAATGTATTCGATAACGACTTGTATTTTTTTGCCACCGCGTTGTTACGTGACAACATTTCCATTTCAAATTAACTACAATTTTCTTTGTTTCAAGACCCGATAATATAATCCCCCGTGAAAATAAACGCTCGCAAATCGTTGACATTTTAATTGTTTCTAAAAATCCAAGTACCAATTCTTGATAACACCGAAGAAACATGTTGCAGGTCACTAATTTTATTCGTCACACTGAAAATTTATTTCCCCTCTTTGCTGTTTTCTACGAATAACCTATACTATATGAGTGCACAACCATAAATTAAACTAACTTTATTCATATATATTTTTTAGCTTTACCATCGCGCTTTTACTCCGCCCCTTCCTAAACGCTATCGCCAATCTAGCAATAAGAACCTAGACTTTGTATTTAAACTCGGGGGAAACGGACGGTGAGGACATGTGCCACTTTTCCCACTCGAATATTTAATAGCCTATAGTTTTTCTATAGTTTCAAACTCATTACAAGCATATATTTTACACAAAGGTTTTCAAAAGACATGTTTCTTTAAAACATTTTTATCGTTTTAAACGTATTTTTTTTTTTTTATCAATTATTTTATGTTTTGAACATTTTTTTTTTTTTTTACAACACTTAAAGTGATCAGACGTTGGAAAAAATATAGAAAATATAAAATCATACTAAGAGTTTGGGGGAACTTAGGAGCATGGCAACTATATTTTTTTAGAAAAATTAAACTAACATAATATAATTCCTTCTAATATATTTTTAGGAAGGGTCAAGCCCCTCAAAAGTAAATAGCGTTCCAAAATTTTTTCAAACTTTGTTTATGATTTAAAGTGATTATCACTAGTTTAACAGTTAATCGTGGTTTATAATAGTAATATAAATATGGTTTTCAAACATTGTTCGACTTCCTATTGTTATTTGTATGATAATTTCTGTTAGCTTCCTATTACACTAAAAATGTTCGTCAACAAATCAAGAATATGTTTTAAAAAAGAGCATATTAGAAACCTTTCCAATGTAAAATATTAATGGATTATTAATGAATAAAAATTTGTGACTGTTTTTTGAAATTTGGTATGTTTCAATGATGATTTTTAATATAAATGACTATTTCACTCACGAATTTAGAAATTAAACGTTAATAAAAATACATATGTTTAACTAACACAATGTTTTATTTAAAAGGTCTGTTTTTTTTGTATGTTTAAAACATGTTTTAAACGTATTTTTAAAGCAAATTGTTTTATACATAGCAGCCCTTTTTTACACCGTTTTTATTGAAAACCAATATAAAATGATTAAAACTTTTTTTTTGCTCTATATTCCCAACAGACGCGTGAAAAACACAAAGTAATCTGCATAATACTCGATTTAATAATATCTATTATAGGAAACATTCAACAGTTATTTGTTTTCATAACATTTGAGGTGTACCTGATGTTTTTGAAATTCTACGTCACGCGTTTTCTTTTTAATTTAAACTTTTTTTTGCCAAGTGTCAAAACTTTTCACGTCGAAAGTCCAACAACGAGAAGTTCATAAATAAAAGTGCCGGCATATTTCCACTATAGTAAATCAAATAAACCGCATTAACTTAAAGCGTCAAGTGTTGTTTCCCGACTTTTCGCTATACTGTGATTTATGTATACATATTTCAACGTGTATTGCATATATTCATTGATAAATTAATTTCTATAGAACTTTCAACTGTGTGTTGAGATGATCTTATGCTGTGAATGTAATGGTCATGTTTAAGGCTCAGATGTTGTTGCATTCGCAACTTTTTTTTGGTCTACCCGAATATTGATAAGTTAGTTAGCTATAAATCCGTTTCAGGTGAATATGAATTTGTGTATGAAATTTTTAAGTACAATTTTTATTTTATTTTCAGGGTTTTTAGTGGTATTATACTGAAATGTTTTATAACTTTTTAAACTTTTTAGTAAAATTTTAAGGATTTTTGGAATATAAATACTTTACGGGAATGAAACTTAAAAAAAAAAACAAATAGTCTAACAAAATATTCATCTAGTTCTTTCCAATAACGCTGTAACGATAAATCCTAAATACTGTCTTTTGTTTTTTCTTGTTATCGTAAAATTTTACTTAGAACAACAAATTCTTGTATATCCTTCACACTTTTCATGTTTTTTCTGTCTATATATGTATTTTTTGTTTTTTTTTAACGTCCTCTAAATTATGTAACTTAGTTCTTATATTAAAGAAAACGCAAGGCCGTATTTGGGGAATGGTTAGGGATGTATAGCCCCCCAAAATCCTTTGGGGCGAATCTTAATATTAAAGAGTATAACCTACAAATATTATCAATATAAAGAGTCGATTAAAAAACATGTTTATTTAAATATTAGTAGTTATGATTTATATGATACTGTATGTTCTTAATTTTTATCTTAAAATTACCATCATAAGTTCGATAAAAGCTTGGAATAAAAATTTGACCTGTAATGGATATAAAAATGTCGACATTTTTTTTGCTCATCAATATTATTTAAAGAGTGATTCTGAAAAAATTTGGGGCACCAAAATTTATATATCCAATCCATGTCAAAGTATTAAATGTGGCCCTAAGAAAACGGGAAAACGTGTACAGCTCGGCGGTTCGGAATTGATCCTCAATACCTGCGCACCGATGCTCGACTCGTTCTTGACCGAACTATATGGTCTATAATTAAGTATATATTTTGAAAGTAATATTTATGTGAGAGATATTTTTTTTTAGGAAATTTTTTTTGTGACATTTTAATCATTTTTTAGAACAATAGAGAATTAAGTCTTTAAGGTTTTTAGTGCTACATTATCCGAGCTCTTTATTCGTTATATCATGACTCATGACATAATTATGTGGTATTTTCATTCGCGGAATAAAATATTCACTTATTTATCAAAATATTGTAATGAAATATCGTCCTGAAGTTCAATAAAACATGTGCAATTCTATCACACTNCGTCCTGAAGTTCAATATAACATGTGCAATTCTATCACACTTTCCTGTGCTTTTGAATTCAAAGAATACTCGGTAGTATCTTGTCAACCCGAGACTATTATGACTGTTATGACTCTATTATTCACAGTAATACGCATTGATCGTGATCACTATAAATATTTGAAATGTCGTGCCATAAACTGAAATTGTATTTAATTGTAAAAACATATAAATGTATTTATTCTCGTTAAGATGTACTGAACGTGACGTTGACACAACCACTCGTAACTTTAGTTTTCGAGGAAGACGTTATTAATACTATATGTCAAGTCTTGGAATCGTTAGGTGAAATCCACATTACGGTCATATACTATTTACATGGGTACCACACTACCGGTGAACGTGACTAGTACCCAGTGTACTCTGTCAAGGTTTACTTGCCGTGCAAAAGTACTGGCAAAAGCGTCAGACCGTTGGGTGTTTGATTAACCGCGCTCAGGGAAATAGCGGTGGATAGGCTGAGCTGTTTAGAATAATATTGGGTCCGGGAACCCCTCCCCTTGGAGTTTTGTCGGTCATTAAGCAAAACACACTGTCGGATGAATTACCCATAGTTTGGGTTGCGTGTTTGTAGACAATTATTGTGCGGTGGATTATGTTTATCTATGTAACAAAAACGTCAGAACTTTGCGATAATTATCTTTCATAATAGGCGAAGAAAAAACTATAGCAATAATTTACCAAGTAATAATCGTAAGTAATTCGGAACTAACGTGTATTATAAACGTACGGTTGACTTTCTGACAGCGAGTTGATGCTCTCCAAGTAATGAGCTGGGGAGGCGGTTTGGATATGATAAGCACGTTTCTTCAATCGTCGTCATCGTCTAATTTAACACGATCGACCCTAAACTAAGCAAACCTATCCCTTGCAGCGATCATCCCTTTTAAAAGGGGTTAAATTATATTTTATCTAAACATTCGAAACGCCTTGAACCTCACTAATACCTGCACTAGGGTTAAATTCTTCAGGTTACGGTTGCGATTCGCCTACAGGAATCACGTGCTATCGTTCGACCTTAGCCGCCTTCCTGTAATCTGACCACACCTTGGATATCTCAATTTTTGTTTTTCCCGACACCACGTCTTATGTACTTAAGAATAATTGGTTTACCTTCCGCCTCCATTCTGAAAATTCTCGCAGCACAAACAAACAGCGACTATCATTAGTACTTGAAAGTGAACCTGATCTCTGCAAAAAAAATTACTTGAATAAAACTCAAGTTCTCTTCTTAACCATCCTAAATATTTAATAAAATATCGCTACCCGCAATGCCTGGCAATCTTCATCAAGACTTAAAAAGAATGGTACAGTGATCTTCTTGCTCCACAGTAAAATAAATCTGACTATCGAAAAATCTCAAATCAATAAGAGTATCGTCTGTGGACAACTAATCTTCTCAAAATAATCATGTCAAATATCATATTATCATCTTTTATGCTTATTTTACTTATTATTATATAAATTTTATAATCAAAAAAATAAATAAAAAGAAAAAACTGATCGCTATTGACTTTAACTAGATCATTGATTTAATTTTTTAACGAACTCACTTTAATGCGCATTATTCGAATAATTATACAATCTATGTGCGAACATATAATTTTATTCAGTTTACTTCGTATTGACATTTGACACGCAATGTGGCGTTTCGCTCTATTAAAATCATTGTTTCCCATTTTTGTTCTTATTTTAATTTATTTTATTTTTCCCGCCCATATTGTTGTGTGAATAGATAATATTTGATCGTTAATTAATATTGCGTGAATATCAAACGAGTATAAAATATGACAATAATCAATGAGTTGGTATTGTTGTAGACAATAGTTTCAAATCAAATTTGATAATGTTTTTTTTTCTAAGTATGCATGCAAAAATATAATTTTACAGTATTTGTTGGTTATAAGAAAAATGCGGTTTCTATTTTCGCTAACAAAAAATACACTTTCACCAAAACTTTGTTCATTAGCATTTTATCACCGCGTCTGTTTGATAATAGTTGAGAAAAATAACTGTCATTCTATAAGAGTTCAAAAATAATATCTAATTCACGCAATATTTTTATATTAACTAAGTTCTAGATTACTATTTTTCTGCAATAAAGTAGTTAAATTTCAATTACTAGTAGAATTACCGATTACAACTTTTGTTCTTAATGATTTTTAAAAATGTATGTTATACAACCGAAGTTCTTTGATTATTTATTTCTATGTAAATATTTTATAGTTAGTATTAATTTATTAGGAAATCAAATATGTATTAAAAAGGTTAACATACATACATTTTTATGAACTCTCTCAGATAATTAATTAACTTATTTAAAACATAAAATAGAAGTTAAACAACTTTAAAATGCTATACAAAGACGAAATATAGTTAAAAATTAAATGTTAAATATACTAATTTAAAAGCTCAGTACCTAGTCATTATAAATGGTTTAATATTCACTTTGTCAGTACATTTTGAACTTTAAAAGTTACATATTCTAAAATTTTAGTTCTTATTAACTGATTCATGTATAAGATTATACTGGTTAATGATAAAACTGAACAGTAAGAGTCCTTCTGTAAAATTCAGTTGACCTCTTATAATTTTTAGTATTCCATCGCTCATAAAATATTGTAAATAATCCAAGTTTAAGTTGTCAGTTTACTCAATACCCTTTTCTTAACTTACTATGTTACATGTAATATTTTAAAATAAAGCTTATAATATCTTTATTCATTTTCACTGTTTGTTATGAAACTTCAAATGTAATAAAACAATTTTTCATGTATATTTTACATAATGAATATAAATTGTATTTTCATATTTTCGATTTAACTAGTGTAACATCAACAAATTATTGTGATGTAAAGAGTTTACTATTATTGTTATTTTAATACAGTTTTTGATCAACTAATTTATTTCTTATTTCATTTTGTAATTGTAACCCATAATATTTAGTTTTAATAAACAGTTATATTTTTCATAATACATATATTCACTTAAAATAATTATTCTGTCATGAGATATTTTATCTAAAAAAACACCTTAAAGTGAATTAGAGTTAATATGAAATTTTGTATAAACATTAATCTAATTAAATAAGGCAATTAATTGCGATGACGGAAAAAAACTCGAGATAAACGTGTAATTGATTTCTCCCTTATAATTCATTCATATTATTTACTCATCCGTATTGTGCTAAAACACTCTGATGTTCATTAGATGTATAACATCGTTAGTGAACAAAACTCTCGTATATGTGTATACATTTGTGTTACTGACGTGACCAGTAGAAAAAGAAATCAAATTAACTTTTCCAAAAACTGAACATCAGATGTTACCCATCAATCAAATACACTGGTCTTTCAACACAAAAAACATCTAATTAATGCAATTCACATTCTGTTCAATAATTTTTCTCACAAGCTAAATATTATTTCAAAGAAAACTTTCGCACAACTGCTAGAACACTTTGTAACTTAAATTTTCGCTAAATTGATAAATAATGTTCAACAAGTATAGTACATTTCTCTTGGAAGTTTATTTTCCGGATAAACGAGTTTAACTAACAATATAATTGATGAAATAAATTAAATTATGCAGTTGATTATACTATGCTCATTCATTATTTATAACAGCAAAATGAATAATTTGTAATAGTATCGAACATTAAACTAATTGTTACTGCTATAATCTTTTGCCATTCAAAATAGATACCTCCCAATGTCTTCAATAATAAACTAAAACGTACTAAGGGTATTACTATTTTATAAACACTTAAAAATGTATAGAATGCGCAAGATAAATAATTATATACTATCATTTTCTATAATATTAATATGAATTTAGCTACTGTACTATTATAAAAAGTACCACGGATTTTTTAGCAAAAAAATTTAAGCAGATTAATAGATGTTTTATCTTTTGTCCATTTTAAATTATACTTAATGCTTAAAGAATGAAAAACTCATAATTACTCAATATGTTAACTATTCTAATTATGCTCATTATTTTTATAACATAAAAATATTTTTACATAATAAATAGTACTAAAAACTAAAAACTTCGAGTTTATTATTTAGCTTTTTAAGATACTTATCGCGAGCGAATTTACTTTGATATTGAAAATATTTGTGGTGATGATTTATATCTATACATTTTTTATTTACTCCGGATAAATACATTAACTGTTTACATTTTATCACCTCTAGTTTCTACTATACTTAAAATATTCTTAGAATTATCATAATTTAACAAATCTATATGAAATTATAATTATTGACCAAAACCAGCATTATCATACATAATGTTCATACAAAATATTTGTATTTCATCTCTCTTTCCAACCCAACCGAATTATAAAGGTTATCATCTATAAAAACACATTGTTTGTTAAAAAAAATAAAAACGTCGATTCAACTCGCAATATTTTTTTATTACAATTTTTTTTACGTAAACATTTTTTTATTGGTTAATGATGTTGTTTATCAATTAACATTTGATATTATAGGTCTATATAGAAAACAATATAACTTAATATAACTTTGGAATGTTCTAATTTGGCAATAATAATCCTTACCTATAAATAATGTTTTCTCAAACTTAATCGACTTAAATCGCCTTAATGCATTCCGAATGATTTAGAACTTCTGAGAACAGGTTATTTGCAATAGTTTGTGTCCTAATTCAATGAAATAATGCTAACCATTGTGAATTAAAGGGGTCGTATTTAAGTCATCTCTGTAGCGAGTAATAACATTTAATTTGAATCACAAACCACAGTAAGTTTCAGTATAATATAAGTTTGGTTTAAATGTCTTTTGCTATATAAATATGGTCATTAAAATCCATTGAGATACAAAAATAGTGTGATATTTTTCGTATTTGTTTAAAATTATTGTATAGTGAGAAAAAATTACCATAAAGTTAAATACAGTTTTCTTCCGTTAGTTGAAATTGCATTTTTAAAAAGCTAATACCGTCATTGAAGGACTACCAAATTGTCCGGTGTCACGGACGGTCACGTTTCCGTTATAATATTCATTCAATATATATATACACTTTTTTTCCCCCTACTATTGCCATTACAATAATAGTAGTATAGCTCTGAGAGAGATCTGGGAATCGTTTTAGCAATAAATATCGCTTTATTTCGTAACAATATTTCCTTTTAATGCGTTTCTCCCGAGGCTTTTATGCGTTTTTTTTTTTTACCGATTCATTTTTATAAATTTATATACATATACATGTATATGCGCGGTGTACGGTCTTGCCAAAGAGATTCGTTTTGTGGTTTTTCTACCAACCGACGCCGCTTTTCCACCACCCATCAAACACTAACGTAAATATACCCTGGGTACACCATTATGGAAGTGAATTTTATGCAATGATTTTCTTTATTATTATTTATTCTGATAATCGCTAAAAAATGTCGATTGAGCTTAAACCAAGTGGTGCTACCAAAATATTCACTCCATATGAAATAATATTGCCAAAGAGTATGTTACTTAATATTGTAACTACTGCCACTACTGTGATCTTACTTTGAACTTTTAATTCGTTAAATAAAAAATCTTGCTCCCAAAAAAAAAATAAATTATCTTCAACAACGTGTTTGAACATCAGGAAGGACGCATGAATTTTTTTTCGAGAGAAACTCCTCATTTACAATATAGCAAGCAAAATGTCTACATTATTATTATAATATTAAATTTCTTTTTTTTACTTCTACGGATCAATTTTTTCACATGATTTCTTATCTCAGTTCCTTATAAAACACTAATAAAATAATCCAGTAATACTTTTACGGCGAATCATCTATATCTTTAGGTGCTCTAATTAGGAAAAATTGACAAATATCTTTCGTAAAGAGATTACGTGATTTTATGATGAAGCTAGAGAAAGAAATACTTAATTTAAAAAAATGTTATATTCACGTATTATAGATCAATAATTTAAGGAATTATTACACTAATGAGACTATGATGATCTTTAAAAATGTTATTAAGTAGTTCTAAAAATAGTATTAAAATGCCTTTTGATCAGTAACCAATATTATTAAAAAATCTTTAAAATTATGTGCGTGTAGTATAAAGAACAAAAATAGGGTTGTTGAAAAAAACATATTTTTTTAATCTATTTAATACATAAATAAACAGTTTAAAATGTAGCATAAGACTGATGTAAATGTTGAATTATTTGGTGTTTTAAATACGTTTAAAACATAACAACCCTGAACACAAATGTGGCCACTATGTAATGAAGGATTACCTCACCCATACCTTGTCATCTAAAGGACACTTCTGGTTAGATTTTCTTACTGCGTAGCAAGTATTAATTAATTATGGCATCTTTTCATTTTTTCTAATCTATAATTTCAAATTCAGTAAAAATGATTTAAATAATCTTTACTGAATTAATAATTAGTTTATTAATTACCATCAGCTTCTACACAAATTTTATAAAATTAATAGGTAGTAAAATGGTATATTTTGTGTAACTGATATGATTGTATAAAACTATAGTTTTATATAATAGTAGTTATGACTATTGAAAACTGTTGAAACCCTAATGTTGTTAGAATTTCTGATCAAAGGACATGTTTTTCATATATTTTCCTGACATGGTACATATATCAAAGGAATCAAAATCAAACGGAAATAATCAAAAAGTTGGAAAATCATTTTCAAAGTTTAAATTGACATTGTGCGTTGCCCTAGCACAATTATTTATTTTCGATCCTCAAAATGAATATCAACGTCGAAACCAAAACATTTCTGTCAAATGAACAGCACAATTCTTTCTAAAATCATAATTCATTTCTAAAGAAGATATTTTCAGATGTGATTCTTATATTTCATTACTAAAATTTTCAGAATAATCGCTTGCCAATCTGTTTTAACTTTTCATTTCTTAACTGAATAAAAAATAAATTAAATTAACCCAACACCACAAAAAGTACTTGTAAAAAAAAAAAACACCAATTACGCTGTAAATGCTTTTTGTGGTGTTGGGTTAATTTGATATATTTTTAATAAATTAGCCACAAGTAATAAATTTTGTTTTTTTTTTTTTGAGCTTAACTTAATTGATTATTTTTGAATATGGTTAAGTGAAGTTGTGTACAAATTTCCAACAACCGAACACAACATGTAAACTGTATGCACGTGTAAATTTTTGTGAAAAGATGATCGATAAGTTCTATGATAATTTTTTCGGAATAAAATGTTTTCCCGTTATGAATAGTGTTTCATATTAATTATTCTATTTAAACCTTACGTTTGATATGATAATTATTTTTGAACATTTCTACTATAAATCGGAATAGAATAGATTTTCGATTAACACATACGTATAGTATAAGAGACTATATGTTTTGGTAATATTATTAATATTGTTTCTTTTTTTAATGGTGAAGGGGTAGTGTGCTTCAGAATACTGGATACCGACATAGGTGATGGTGTTCCTTCAGTAATATAATGTAATATTGTCACGACAACAGGGTGTAATAAATTGTAAAGACGAAGCATAGTATTATTTCAAATTCAACCACGTAGTCCATATTTCATTTCATTCATTCATTTGTTGATGTATGGCAGAAAACCAGAGCGATGGAAAAAAATATCCGTTTCCAGATGTACTTATATATTTTTTTCGTTATTTTCTACGCAAAATATAACCGATTTTCCAGAGCACAACGTGATTAATTATCAAACGTCGTTTCTGGCCGCCGGCTGAGAACATGGATGGGTTGGGCATATCGTTGAACGATAATTAATATCTGCTTTCCGGATAGGGCTCGTTTTTTTAGTCATTATCCTGTTTGGAATTTAGCCGTCGACCCTAAAGATTATAACCTTTGTGCGTGATATTTAATAACCGCTTAATTTTATTCAATTATCAAAATAGAATATCTTCAGAATAATAGGCAATTGTTTTTTATGACACTTGACTTGTGGCAGAGTGTACAAAACTGTGTTTTTAAGACTCGTCAAGATTAAATTTTATTATGCTTATAAAATTTCAAACAATCTAATTATTTTTGAAAGCGAAATTAACTGTAGTGGATGATAGCAAATTTATATTTATATTTAATATAGTCGTTATACACGGGGCATATTTTGTTAATAAGTCATCAGTGGCGTTGAATTTTATTTAGTTCTACTTTATAAACAACAACACGAGGCTATACATTATTAACACAAAACCTTCTTGTAATTTTCAAAATTTTATTGCTTCTGCTGTTATTCAGCACACGTTTCACCGACCCATCTCGTTACGCGTTTCGATCGTCTCTACCTGAATAATATTTTCCGAACGTTATATTATACTCTCTTGATAATAATTCGGCTATCAAAAAGAAAAAAAAATGCCGAAAATGAGACCAATCTCTATAGATCGGTGTCATTTGCCAAACGTCAGTTGTCTATATTATATTATTTGGCATCAATTCCAAGATTTCTTTTTGTTTAGTACTTGAATAAGCCAATCTATTCTATTACGCCAACTTTTCAAATATACATTTATATTGTGAACACAGTGACTGATCTATTCATGATTTTGCTAAGTAAAAACACTGACAGTAAAACAGCTTAAAAAGTTGCTTGTGATTTTAAATTAAAGTTTATGTTGCTGCATCATTACTATGATGTTTTATGTCGGTGTAATTTTTTTCTCTGTGTACTGTGGGCAAATGTTTTTTTCTCGTGTTTTTGTTTTCAAATGACAAGACGTCTATCACAATTAAGTGTTAAGAAAATATATATTTTTTCGATCAACGCGATCTAATGTTAGTATGTATATATTTCAAAAGCATAATGACTTTTTATGAAAAAAAAAACGTGCAGTAAAAATAGAGCGTTTATGTTACTCTAACGAATTGCACTACCAGTCGAAAGTTTTCAATTGTTATCTAAGAAAAACAGGTATTTTACCGTCATGATTTTTTGACCAAGTTGTTTGTGTGGTTGAACGTTTACAGAGACCACTATAAATAAACTCTTTGCGTTGGGGATGGTACAGCTCCCCAAATTATTTCTGTGCACCCCCGAATACATATAAGTGTATACATTTGAATGCTTTTTTTTTTCGGAAAACGACGACGCCCACTAGTAAGTGTATGCCAAAAACGATAAATCACTAGCTTGTAGAAATACACAACAACGAAAAAACTGTATATTGTATAACCCCAAAAAAATATTACAGTAAAGCTGAATTGGAAAGAACGTTAATGCTATGGTGGTTTTTGCTGTCAAAGTTGTTTAATTTCATTCTAAAAAAAACCGCTTGTTATTCCAAATCCTTTTTCCCGTTGTACCCTTTTCCGGTTACATGCAAAAATATTTTGTACACTTGGGTCAACGTTAAAAACTAACCTACTAAACAAATGTATTATTCGAACATTGTTATCAGGTTCGTCGTAAGAGATAATCTGTTTTCAAAACTATGAAGAATTGGTCAATTTGGTTATGGACGGTTTTAATTTTATTATTTCTTCACCCTCGACAAAAAGAGATTTTCATTTCTACATTAGAAGGGAATTTATTTTTTATCTGCGCTGCCACGTATCCTACTTGGCAACCGAAAAATAATTTAACATAGACGTTCACAGGAAAAGACTCTAGGGATATACAAATCGAGGGCTAGAAACGTACTACGGTAAAGCGGATCGGACCCCAAAAATCACTTAAGTTATCCTCCATTTCCTTTAGATAAAATCGTTTTTTTACATACTAACATATATTATTGTGTATATTTTCATTGGAGTTCTTTTTCAATACAACAAACATTTTTTTAACACGCCTGTGAATAAAAACATGCGTTATTATTATTGTTTGAAAAACAATATTACTATTACTTAATTGTCGAAAAAACATTATTTTAATTGATTATTTTTTTTTGTACTCGAAGAGGCTTTTTTTTTTTAACAATTACATTATACTACAAAACGCATATAAACATACAAATATGTTCCCCAAATATGAAACAGTCATATTATTTTCTGTGTCAAATTTAATGCAGAAAAATATTTCATCGAATTGTAATCAATCTGGTTTCTTGTAATCCTCCTCGGTAAATTATCTTTTTGAACGATTGTTTGGTATTTTTAGATTGTAATTTGTGAAAGTTTCAATCCGCGTACGTTCTCATATGTCGGTGTGGCGACGGCACCGCGGGACTATGGAAACGACTTTGCAACGTGTGCGTTTAATGGTACACGTGGGAATATACACGCGTTTTGGGCGATAAAAAGCCGCCCCTCATTTCCCGTTAGAGTTTACAGAANCTTACAGAAAATAGATGTAACTCTTTAAGTGCGCGCGCATAGATACACTCGGAACAACAAAGTTACGCACTAATGCTTAATATGTCTTATCGTTGTTTCTTTAATAGATAAGACCCAAAGACTTGCTGAACTCGTTCAAACTGTCCGTAGCATCGAACAACTCGCCCAGTAGTTCGCCAAAAACCACAGCTAACAGCAACAACAACAACAACGGTAGCTTATTACAAGCCATCCCCGCCGACGCTGTCAAGAGACTTGCTTTCCTTTTCCTGTCGACGTGCATACTGCTAGCGTTTCGATTGAAAATTATGGGCTCCAAATTGCCCGTCTTCACCAGGTACTGAACATTTTATAATCAATTCATAAAACAAGCTTATTTTATATGTAACAGGGGCGTATTTGTGGGGGGAGGGCTAGAATAATACAAGCTCTCCCCGTGCCGAATTTTTTTACTCAAATAATGGCACTCGTAGAAGAGTTTCGAAAAATAATCATCAAAAACAATGTTTTATATGAAAAAAACTGATTTTTTTATTCTTTCAAAATATGTATCTGTATTATAATTACTCACTTACAGTCTAGTCCGCGACGCCGTTACAATTTGGCTTTCTAGGCCATGATTAAAGATTATCAATCAAAATTTAATGCCTTTGCAACCCCGTCTTTTTTCAGTATTGGACTGACAAACCGAATCCATCATTGTTCATATTTACAACTCTTAATTTCATAATAACGTAACTAAAATAAATAAATGTATCTTTGTTCTGGCATGACTAAATTTGTAGGGAAATATTTCTATGATCTTTCTACGTATGATAATTTTCTTCGATGTGCGTCTTTCACGCGAATGAAATATCATTGCATTTATTATTCCTTATATTTTATAGTCGCATACGAGTTCAACTTAAATATGCTATATGCTCGTGTATTTTTTAAAAGAAACTCCTCCGTCATGTGTGAGGATAAAATTTTTATTTTTAGTTTTCATCGTAAATATTGTTTATCTCTTATATATTTTCTATTAACATTGAATTAATTTGTTGAAAACATTTAATAATCAAGTTATTTAAACGTTTTCAATTTTAGAATTTTATTTCTTTTGAGCCTCTTTGCGTGTGTCGCTAATAAATGCAAATTTTATTCATTAAAAAATAACAGATTTATGTTTGAAAAACTACTATAGTTTAAAATAGTATAATTGATCTATGCAATGAATCAGAAGGTTTTTATTTAATCAAGAAGTTCTTCAAAAAATTAGTGAACACGCGTCATATGGGTTTTATCTCTCTCCGATTTATTACTTTCACGAAGGCGCTGATTACACGTCCAATGTTTCCTTGTGATTGTCATTTTTTACCACTAATTAAAATCATTGTTAAATTGTATTTGTTCATGTTTGATCACGACAATTAATTTTTCAGGTTTGACAACCCAGCTAGCGTATCCGAATGGCCTGCTCGGCAACTTACATACAATTACCTAGTTAGTGTGAATGCATTGCTACTTTTATTCCCCTGTGACTTGTGTTGCGACTGGACTATGGGCACCATACCTTTGGTCGAATCCGCTTCAGATCCCAGAAACCTGGCCACGTTGTTTACATACGCCGTAGTCGCTGCACTCGTGTACACGGCGATCACCACCACAAATAGGATCAAGCGCATCGTCATCATCATGGTAACTACAATTCAATTACACGAGTTCTCCACAAAGGCTCCGAAGAGCTTTTCCTTCTAAAGAGCATTCGTTTCCGATTCATTTAACAAACATTTAAAACCATTTGTCTGCACCGTTGAACTTTTAATCAATGTGTACGTTTGCGATTGTTACGTTATTTCTCTTGCCCGGTCTCTTTATCTTTTAACGCGCAGTTGTTTCGCCAAAACAATAAAGGTTACACTAGTACGGTTTTTTTATATGATTTCGTCTTCCATCATTTCCTCAGGACGTTGAATAACTGATGTATTTTTTCTTAAATTATTTCTGAAAAATTAAGCGTAAAAAATTTAAAACAAAATTGCCCGACCGAATAAACATTTGTAATGTGCGTGTTATTTATTTAGTTTTACTCGGTTTACCGTTCAACAAATTTATCCATTGCACATACAATAAAATTTGTGTTTAGAATATCTAAATTCATTAACCTTTTTTTTTTGTTTTTACGTTTTTTAGAGTCTGGCGTTAACTGTTCTACCGTTTTTGCCGGCGTCCAACATGTTTTTTCCAGTAGGTTTTGTCGTGGCTGAACGAGTCCTTTACATGCCTTCAATGGGATTCTGCATGTTAGTCGCGTATGGCATTGGGTTGATCGTAGAAAGAAGGTAAGTCAAATACTTTTTATGAAAATGCAAATGCTATATGTACTGTATGTGCTATTGTATTTTTATAGTAAATCTAGAACCGTTGGTGTGCTTATTGCTTTATTGATGATAACACACATTGTAAAAACATATACAAGAAACTGGGATTGGTCGTCCGAGTATGCAATATTCACTTCTGGTCTTAAAGTGAATAAGTTGAATGCTAAACTTTACAACAATGTAGGTCATGCTTTAGAAGCTGAAAACCGTTTCAACGAAGCTCTTGTATACTTCAATAAAGCTGTCAGGTTAATATAACTTGGTGTTTTTTTTCTCTTTTAAATGAATTTAGATTATAATATCCAATGATTGTTAAACGATAAAACGTTAGGACGCGTTTATATTCAATATTTACACATTTTTTTGTATATGTATTTGCAGTGTTCAACATGATGATATTGGAGCTCACATAAATGTAGGCCGCACTTACAATCATTTGAAAATGTATAAAGAGGCAGAAGAAGCATACTTAAAGGTATCTTAGGAATAATTATATTTATTGAATATTTTTTATTTATTTTATTAATGTGTTAGGCTAAATCATTACTCCCTAAAGCCAAGCCTGGTGAATCTTATCAAGCCAGAATAGCACCTAATCATCTCAATGTCTTATTAAACTTGGCTAATCTAATTGCCAAAAATCAGACACGCTTAGAAGAGGCAGACATGCTCTACAGGCAGGCTATTAGCATGCGATCTGATTATACACAAGCTTATATCAACCGCGGTGACGTATTGCTCAAGCTTAACAGAACTAAAGAAGCACAAGAAGTATATGAAAGGGCATTGTTTTATGACACAGATAATCCTGACATTTACTACAATGTAAATTATTTTTTAAATACTGTTAATATGTAAAAGGTCAGAGGAAAGAATTTCCAATTTTTTTTTTTTTTTTTTTATAAATTTTGTTTATCTTAGCAGATCCTGCTAGGATTCAATCCTATTGAATAATTTTTAATAACCAAAATCCTACCAACAATAGGCCAACAAATATAATGTTAGAAATAACTGTTTGTATGAAAAGGACAACAAAAATAATCTACTTTAAATAAATTTTTTTGAATTTATGCACTATACATGTTCTTTCCTGGACTTTATAAATAATTTTGATATTTTTCAAACAGCATTCAATGTTTTTTCTTTTATAGTTAGGTGTAGTTCTTTTGGAACAGGGTAAACCTTCTCAAGCATTAGCTTATTTAGATAAAGCATTGGAATTCGATCCAGATCATGAACAAGCTTTACTAAATTCAGCTATATTATTACAAGAGTTAGGACAAGCTAGCTTAAGAAAATTAGCTGAGAAAAGACTGCTAAGACTTTTGTCAAATGTAAATTATTTTTAATTATAACAAAAAATATTAATGAAACTTTGATAGCTATTTAATACTATTAAAAATAATAATAACATATATAGGGTCAAAAAAATGAACGGGTTTTCTTTAATTTGGGAATGCTAGCCATGGATGAAGGAGATATATCTGCAGCTGAACACTGGTTCAGGCAAGCAATATTAATAAAAGAAGATTTTCGTGCAGCACTTTTCAATCTGGCTTTATTGCTAGCTGATGACCACAGACCTTTACAGGCTGCACCATTTCTAAATCAACTTGTAAGATTTCATCCAGATCATGTTAAAGCCTTAATATTATTAGGTGACATTTATATAAATAACATTAAAGATTTGGATGCAGCTGAAAATGTGAGATAATAGATTAAATTTGCTTAATCTAATGTTTTTAAATAATATCATTATTTTAGTGTTATAAGAGAATACTACAGCTTGAACCAGACAATACCCAAGGTATGCATAACTTATGTGTAGTATATGTAGAACGGGGGTTATTAAGAGAAGCTGAACTATGTCTACAAAAGGCTCATCTTATGGCACCACATGAAGATTATATTGTCAAACATCTGAAAATAGTGCAAAATCGTTTACAGGCAAAACAAACTTCAGAAGAAGTTAATGTAAGTTTCTGTTGTAGTTTTAATTCATATTTTTCTAGGGACGAACAAATAATATTTTTATTCAAAAAAAACTTATATTTTGCATAAATTTTTTACAGGAAAGTCGACCGGATTCCAAAGATGTGCGTAAAACAGAAAAAGATACTACACGACCTGATCCTAATCTAAAATCAACTAAGCCTTCTACTTTGTCATTATCATAAATTTAGCCTGTCTAATTTATATAAGGCTCAGTAATAATATAAATAAACATGTATACTCATGTTTGTATGAATTATACTAAAAATAGTATTACAAAAATACTAAAAAGTCATACAAAAATAAAGAGTGTAAATGACACATGTTTTTTTGAGGATGACTATTATTATTTTTGAGCTCTATTTGTCATATTTATTCAAAAAACATACGTTTTATACTTAACACCTACTCGCTCTATATATGTTTTTCTATATTTTATGTCATAGAGTATTAATTTGTGTGCTAAATTGCTAAATCATTGTTAATATATCTATATATTAATTGAAACTATTTCATAGTTTTCATATATATGTATATATATATATATATAAGGTACCTATTTTAAAGTAATTAATAAATGATTTTTTTAAGTGAACAAGTCATGGTGCTACTTTTCTAGAGCCATCATGAAATTACAATAATACTACATTTGATTTTCTTTATAGTATATAGATTTATCTTTTAAATTATAAGATGTATTTTTGTCTCAAAGGTTTATTTTGAATAGTTAAAAGAAAAACTAAATTTGTAAAAAAAAAAAAAAAAACCGTGCTGTGATGTATTTAATAGTAAGTTCAATGATTCTGTACTATCATTAACTAATGAGTTAGCACATTACAAAATGTTGTATTTGCTTGACTTATATAAAAATGTGAAATTACTATGTGTAACTTGCTAGTATTATTATATTGATCATTGACATTCCTTAACAATAGTACTTAATATTTTATTGAAAATACGTTAATTGTCCGACATTAATTACTTAATTGATTAAGATGCTACTGAACAAGTTTTATTTACTTAACTAAATTTCTATTTAAAATAGTTTCATATATTTATGAAAAGCCAACCATTTTTTTTAATTTTATTTATTACTTTAATTTTTTTTAATAATGTGGACAATCAACTTTTTTTTGTTTTTATATGAAACTAAACTTTGTAATTATTTTTAATTAAGTATTTTTATTTCAAGTCCCTTAATAGTTAAGTTCCTGATAAACATTGAGATAGTATTAAATACTAATGTATTCATTTTTATATAAATCCAAATTTTTTTTTTTAATATTTAACTTGTACGTATATAAAGTGGTCTAAAAATATTAGTTTTTAAATGACTATTTAATGTTAATTAATATGAAATTTATGAAGGTATTTGCCTAAAGTAATATTAAAAGTGATATTGCTTTAAGATGTGATTTTTTTATTTTATGTTTTGTATGAAAAATAAATCTAATAAAGTTTTTAAATAATATTTTGCTTTATTATTTAAACAAATAGGTATAATATTTTTTATTTCCGATTTTAAATAATTTTATAGCGAGTAAAAAAAAAAAATTAATTGTAATATCAATTCTTTAGATAAGTTTTGCTGCCTGCAGCAAATACTTCTTATAAATTGCAAAGATTTATGTGAGACCTTGATAAATTGTAAACGCATGGTTCACTAATGTCCTTTTTTATTAAAAATCTGTGTTTTTGTCTTATTTGTAACCTTTTTATTTTGCACAAAATTTAAAAAACTTTAAGATTCCAATGATTTATTAGATTTATACTATGGCTGTAGTATTTTTTAATTCATAAAAAATAATTAAAAGAACATGTCTTTCTTAAAATTAAAATTTAATCAACCCGAAGAATTCTATACAAAAATTAATTTGTTGTAACTTTTAAAAAATATGGATAGAAAAAAGTATTCTTTATACATTATTCAATATCCACATAGGTAGACAATACTACATGACTTTTCATAAAAAGTGGGATTATTGGTTTTTTACCTTAAAGAGGACAAAATAGGACGAAATTAATACAATAATAATTTCTTGAATAACAAATATAAAAAAAACTCCTGTTATAGCTGTTCACATATTACAATCACGTCTCTTGAATCATAGAAATTTCAATTCCTATTATTCAGTTATCTAAGCGATTATAAAGATTTCCCAGTTAATTAAAAACTTATCTCCAATGAAAATAGTTCTTTATATTCTAAAATTTTAATTGTATTCATAATTTAATCCTGAGTTAAAATTATAAATACTTTGAACTTAAAATGGCAACTCAATATTCGTTCATTAAATAATAATGTTTTATTTTTCTTATTGTGAAAATAAATATCAAATAATTTTTTAAACATTAATTCTTTTTTAGTTTCGATGCGAAGTTGAGAAGGTATTAATTTTACCATGATGTGTTTCTTTTTATGTCTTGCTACTTTTTCTCAGCTCTCAGAGAACCGATTTCTTTCAACAATACGTCAAAAGATCACAAATCGTGTCTTGTTGAAGACACAATCCTTAAAAATCAACAAATCAACATATTTTTTTTTTATACTAAAACCTTAAATATTTCCCTTTTATTTGATATCATTTTTTGAAAATTTAACCCTTAACCTGCTCACTGGAAGGATTTAAAATAGCAACTTTTTTACAAAAACTAACTTTTCAACTTAACTTTTGAAATTTTGCGTAAATACTATGTCTTTTAAACATATATCAAATCAAAAGTTATGTCATATACTATAAAATGAAAAAAAAATTTGTCCCGACAACCTATCTTCTATGCGCAAATGGCTACCGTATTTAAAAATATGCTATTTTTGTGTTAAAATCCTGGGTTTTGTAATTTATTTTATTTTAAAATATCTTATAAGAGCAATACACTGACTTTCATGAATATTATATAATTGAATTGACATAGAATAGAGTTCATAAGACATAAGAAATTAAACTTATTTAAAGTCGAAAAAGTAACTTTTAAATTTGACTTAGCTTAAAATGCCAATTTTATCGTAGGACAATTGTAACGAACAGTTGCCGAATCGGTAACACTTGTATCTTTCATGATTAGAGTACGAAGTTCGCATCAGCCTGTGGAAATTAATATTTTACATTTTTTTTTGAGTTCGAAAAAAATTTTCAAATCATTTGATTTTTATCTCATTAAGATTCAATAACTTCAAAAAATATCAAGGATCCCATTGAATCCAAGGAACCCAACCCAAACTATAGTCTCTCCTCGCGAGAAGAAATTTTCATTCGTGTTAATATTATTTTACTATGTGCTTTTTTGAGGCCACGATTTATTTTTCCAACCTTTACTTATTAACCTACTTTTTTCAACGAAACATCAAATGATTACAATTCGTATTTAGTTCAAGATATTACCCTTAAAAAATTCCTCATTCAAATAACAAGTAACTTAACCAGCTTTATTCATACAAAAAATTTAAATCATTCATTTCTAACATTTTTAAAGTATATTGTCGAATTAGATTTGATATTATATAATTTTACTTTGAAATTTATTAATTTTTTTACTCTATTCGTGTGTGCTATTATCAGTATATAACATTCCAAATTTTTTCGTAACATGTTACTATATAAATCATAAATCTAAAAAAAAAATTATTTTTAGTTTCACCTAAATTTAACAATGGATGAAATAAAAATGATTGCATATTAATCTTAAAAATACAATTTATTCTATTTAATGATGTCAATTTCAAACTTTCAAATTAAGCAAAAAGTTATGCTAATAAATTCATTTTTTTTTTTTATTATAAACATTCACTTTAAAGGACAAAAAAAGTAGTTTAAAAATTATTACTTTTAACATATTAAAAATCAATAATAATTAGAAAACAATTAATTATAAAATTTATATAATATATAATTAAAAGAATTACTAAGCTGGATATAATTAAGGAAATAGAAGTTGATGTTGCTTTTGTTATATCCACCAATTTTTTAAATTAAACTGTATCTACAGATTTGTATCGATGCGTGTCTTATGATAGTGATTTTAATCACTGTCAGATTAAATCTATACTGGGACCCAACTATGCCACGTCCCTACTGTGCCACGACCCCACTGTGCTGGGTTTTTTTTAATTAATTTATTCTAATAACAAATCCAACCCAACTTTAGATTTTTTATTTAATAGTAAAATTTATCGTGAGCTTTTCTTACTGGGTAGCTAGTGTCGATGCTAATATCTTTGTTTTAACAAACATCTCGCCGGCAGACAACGCAGAGAAACTTACGTGTATATTTGCAGTGTTTAATTTTTGTCTTAGTGATTATTGTGCCGCATCATTTCAAGATGCTTTTTAGCGCCGGGACACATTCGGCCACCACAATTCCGCCTTGATAAATTTTTTACATAGATATAAATATTTTTAAATCTTGTTTTAGCCACGCCATAGAAAGATTTAAGAAATATTGGTGTCAACCTCTCAATAAAATATACTCTCTCAAAAAAAAAAAATACTTAATCAACAAACGTAAAAAATTTAATAAGAACAGATTATAATTACATTTCTAATAAAATATAGTGTTTAGAATCTTTTTACAAGTAAGATCAGTTATAGATTTTGTGTAGTTAAATCATATTATTTAAAATTTGAATCGTTTTTACAAGTAATTATTTTGACTATGTGACGTTTAGTGAAAATCGTATACGTAGTGTATTTAATACCAAAATCAACATTGGATTACTTGAAATATTATAGCATTACGTAAGACATAAGGTAAGTAGAATTTAACCTATGCTTTCCAACCTCCAACAATCAATTGCGTAATAAACCATTAATAAAAATTAAATAATTAATGAGAGAATTAATAGATTGAATAAAATTATATAAATTCAAATAATTTAATATTCCAAACAATTCCCCAATCAAACCAATTCTATTTCTATTATTCTGACATATATTTATACTTCTATTCTAATCCATTCTCCCATCACCTTTTTTTTTATATATATATTTATATTCATATTTATTTATTTTTATCTATTTATTCTTTTTATTTTAATGTTCTTTATTTTTATTTTTGGTTTATTACATATTGCTTCATAGTGTATATTATTTGCAGAGACGTATTTAGAAATTTGGCGCCCAGGTGCTAATTTTTTTTCCCCCCACCCCCCACCCAACACAAATTTTTTTTGACTTTTTTCCCTTAATAAGCGTATACTAAACATACTACAAGACATTTAAATAACAATTACACATAAGAAGACTTGCTTCCACTAGAAGTTAAACAAAAGTTAGTAAAAAAAGAAAGCAGAGTTTAATAATGCCACAAAGGCGCTGATATAAACAAATAATAAATTATACAAGTTATCAAGTCTTAGAAAGATAGATGAACAAGCATTATACTTATCGGCTAAATGAAACGGCTGATGATAATGTTGTATATTGAAAGGATCAATTGAAGTCGAATGCAAGTAGCTGACCAACGTGTACAATATTCTGTGAATGGTACTGTGATGTATCTCAGAAAATATATAGACCCAAAGTCGATAAACTGAACGCACAAGGTGCGACAATCGCAAAGATGATATTTTACTTTTACAGCGAAAACAAAACTACTGACTCGCAAGCGCCATAGAGCTTATAGCAAAAGAAGCGTTAAAATGGCGATGACAATGCAGACATAGAGAGAAGACCGACAACAACTCGATGTAACACAACGATAACATGAATAATCACAACACAATTTTATGACAGTATAAATATTCGACCAATAAATATTCAGCCACTCTCCTGATCTCCTAAAGCCGTCATCAAATAAGGTTTAAGTTTATTTTCATTTTGTCATATTTAACAGATTATAAGATTAACATTGTTAATGTATTATTATTGTATTGCACGTAAGTTCCCTTTACCGTTTTTAGGTTTTTATTTGCAGAACTATAATTATTTTTCGTATTTGTTTATGCATTAAACAGGTGTACCTATTTTTCTTATCCCTCTTATTTCTCTTTATTTGCTTCTACAAATAAACACCTCACACTGTAATAGGCATTCCAAAAAATAGTTTTTATTTAAAAATGCATGTAATTTTGCTAAATTGTTGGAAGGCTAATTTGTAAAATTGGCGAGGTACATAGCCCCCTCATACCCATCCTAACGCTTATAGTAAAAATTTAAAATGAACATTTTGAAAGAGCAAGAAATATTTAAAATTTTATTATAGCTACAGGATTATTTTCATCAAATAATTCAATTGTCCGTTTTAAAATTTCAAAATATGTACAGTAGCATAACGCAGTTGTTAACCAAGTTCCCTATTGTGTAATGATGGGTGCTGGAGGTAATTGTATATTAGGGGCTTCAGATTTAAAAAATTTTAGTCGGTGTGGGTATTTACGATATATGTTCCTTATATTAGCCACTAAATTGTTGACGTTTTCTAATTCAAAACAATATTCTTTGGCTAGACCATGTAAGTTATATGTTAAACAAGTAAGATGAATCTTTTTTGTGTAAAAAGATTAAAGAATACGAGAAGAATTTGTGTTTATGTACGGCGCGTCGTCAGTTATAAGCAATAAGGATATTATCGTATTATATTCGGTTGGGCTATAATAACAAATTTTACAAACGAGCTGGACTCGATAATTTTTTCTTTTCAGTATTGTTTTAATATGAATAGTTCAAATACTAGTATTTATAATTGAAACTCAAAACAAAAAAAAAATAAAATTTTAGATAGATATTCTTTAATTTTAATATTAATATTGACTTTATACTATAGACTCAACCATTAGACCTTGATGTAGAATGTTCAAAAAAATAATTTTGATGATGTAATAAATTAGAAGAAGTAAAATGTTTAACCAAAAAATTGTTTTTCATGATTTAATTTTCAAGAAATTAGAATTGAAAATTATATGTTTTTACTTGATTTATTATTCATTTTCGTAAGTAAAACTAGACCTCGTGACATTTCATAAAAAAAAGTTATTACTCGATAGTTACAAAAAAATTTATAAAAACAGTTCAAAATTAATACAACAAAAGTTCCTTAAACATAAATAAAAAAATCCTGTTATAGCTTTTCAAATTTTAATTTTCAATTTCTATTAGTCAGTTATTTAAGGGATCATAAACATTTTCCAATCAACTAAAAAATATTTCAAATGAAAAAAGTTCTTCATATTTTAAAAGTTAAACTCTATTCATAATTTTAGAACTCAGTTAAAAGTGTACATAGTTAATAGTTTTAATAACATTAAATAGCAATTTTTTTACCAAAAATATGAAAAAAAAATGTAATATTTTTTGTATTGACATTAATTAATAGATTGAAATCAAAAATACTCATTCAGTTAGATAAATAAAACTATATTTGTGTCAATAATAATTATAATATATAATAATAATTATAATAATGTCAATAATATAAAGTAGAAAATATTTCATTAAATTTTTTTTTAACATTTTTAGTCTAATCAAAGTAGTCAAAAACTTTAAACCTGTAATTCACAAATATCGATATGATGTTAAAAATTTCAAATTTATTTTTGTCGACAATTTTTTTACTATGTTTCTACATTGATCAAATTCAATTAGATGATTCATTATTTGAAAACATAAAATATTTGGAAAACGAAGAAGTAAAACTACCTCGATCAAGCGACTGGAAAGATAGCAATGTAGTTGGTANGATCAAGCGACTGGAAAGATAGCAATGTAGTTGGTATTCCTTTTTTTACAATTTTAAGTATTAAATTTTTGATTGAAACAGAAAATGAAACAAACATTTGGTTTTACCCTTACTATAAAGACGCCATGGTGTACCGATCTTTAAAATATGTGTATCTATTGGCACAATATGGTAGTATGGCAATTAAACCAAATATTAATTGTAAACCATTTGCAAAATTTAATACCGCGGTATATACTATAAGTAATTATTTTAAATTTATTTATTTAGAAAATGAAGTTCTTGAAAACATCAGAAATGTTTTAGAGAATTTTAAAAATTCTCCAAAAGAACCATATTCTGTTCCACATTTTGAAATCATACACCATGTTTTCAGTGAAATTATAAATATCATAGATAATTATTTCAAAGGTGAAAATTTGTTAAAATATTCTGCTGAAGTACCTTTTATTCCTTTACCTATAGGAGGAAATAATTGGGAAACATACGAATCCGTTTTAAGTAAAAAATTAAAAAAAGATTATTATCCTCCTACTAAAATTGAAAACAATAATAAGGAACTAATTGAAGCATTGAACATGCTCATTACTAAAGTAGTAGATGAATATAAAATAACACTTAATGGCTATGAAAATAAAAAAGAAGAATGAAAAATAATTAATTCTGTGCTGTGAGTGAATTTTTTTTTTTACCATTGCCATTTTGAATTATAAAATTTTATTTACAATATAATTACATAGTTTTTTAAAATAGCTATCATTAAAATGCTAACATTTTTTTTAACTTAAAAATATATTAATAAAGAATATTGAAAAAAATAAAATGTTTATTATTAATTCACACAAGCTCTTTTTGACTGTATACTAAAATTTATTCTCTACAAGACTATTTTCATAACTGAATTTACAAGATATTTTCAAAGTTATGTTATTAAATTATCACAAAACTAAATCAACAAAATATTTTTTAGTATTATGTAAAAAATATACTTGAATAATTTTTTTAGACTACAAAAATATAATAGATAAAAATCAACCTTTTTTTTCACGATCGACATTACTGTGGGCCGCCCTGAAACTACCATTAGGCATTACTTCAGGGCCGTCCACGCCGTCTTTATAATTCACACCACCACATTGTGAATCAGCCCGAAATTAATCAAGAGATGATACGCAACGTGGTGTGGCCCCCTCCCGTTAGCCGGATCCTAGAGTGAGAACCGTTAGGAAGGGTTATCAAAATAACTCACAGAATACAAATAACACAAAAACAAGAACCTAAGGCACAGGCCCAAACCAGCGCCTCAGGTCCTCCTGTGCCAGACGGCTTGGCTGCCACTGTCTCAGGCGTTCCGCTTCCTCCTTCTTTTTCAAGACGGATTCGGCCAATGTCTGAACGAGCCTCCACACCTACCAGCTCCTCAAGATCAGGTCCACTATGGACCCGACTTGGAGCGTGGACCCTAGTCGGGACTCCAAATGTCCCTCACCTGGGCTCACGCCTCGCACCAAAAGAGGGCGTGCAGAGCACTGTCAGCCTCTCTCGGTCGATCCGAACAGTGGTCGCACGTCGGCGCGGCTGCTTTGCAAATATGGTGTGTAGTATCACATTTTAATAAATTTAATAAATAAAACATATATTTAATAAAAATATATCACCAAATCAGTGTTACTCGTGGATAAGATGAATAAAAAATAATACCCTTACACAAGATTCAACCACCTTCTTATGCATTCCATAAAACGCCCACGTAAAAGATTTTATCATATTAACCAATCAAATACAACAAAAAATATTTCAAGAATCTCACCAGAGATCGCCAAACCAGTTTTGCGGGCTATAAAAAGGCAATTTTTCCCAAAATTTGACAGTTCTTAAGTACCCTCCATCTCGCTCACCAGTGACGATGATTTTTTGGGCTCTCCAGCGCTCACTCTCACTTTCAAACAACTACGATTACGTGTCTCTCTGGAGTTCTCAATCAACATACACAAATGGAATCTGCATGAGTGTATGGTTCGCTCTTGGTTACAATTCTATATCAAATCTACACCGTTTTTATATTGCAATCCTAATCGCTGGGATTTAAATATTAAACATCTTATTTTCGGTGAATGCTTTTGGTGAAACAAATATTCCAACACATAAAATATTAGTATTTATTTTTTATATATATACACACTTCAAAAAATACATGATTAGATTGCATTATGTTCTATTACTTATTGAAGTGTCCAAACCTATCTGAACAGAGTACTAGCACGATAAAATCATAATCAAGATTCCAATTAATTATAAGCGTTCTCTCAAGTGTCTCTACACTTGTCGACTAGCCAGTCTGATCTCAACCATAGTGTGGGCCATCGGAATGTAGGACACTAATATAACTTTTTTTTTTTTTTTCCACCGCTGGCATGCTGTGGATCGCCCTGGAACTACCGCGAGGTATTGCTTCAGGGCGGCCCACCCACTAATATAACTTATTGTGCATAAATCTATAGTACAGTCGCCTCAAACCTAGGTTGTCTTTCAGGTGATTGAAAAGAAGTAGGCCATATATCATAAGGGTCTTTGCATAAAGATAAAGATATTATTTGAGATTTCATGTTGGTACAACCAGGTACGAAATACAAATAAATCATAGTCGAAATATTATACTAATCACCTAAGCAATTAGAAAGTTTCTCTACACTGGTCGACCAGCCAGTATGATCTCAGCCACAGTGCTGGCCATCGGATTATTAGACACTAGTATAATCTATTGTGCAAAGAATCGAACTTGAGCTCACATCTACTCTAGATCACTCTTTGAACGACTGAAAAGACGTAGGCCACTTGGAAATAGTTTATTGCACAGGACAGTTATGTTGTTTATAATTTCTTTATTGATTTTATAAATTATTAAATTATACATACATATCGATAATTATGACATCAACTACATAATTTATCTCAACAGAATATCTGTCTTATTATGATAATTAGACGTAAGTGTTATTTATTTATATCTATAATAAACCCTTTACCGAAGGATTTTTAGTAATTAACAATTAAAGTGAGATAGGTCACCGGAAGTAAACTAAACGAATTGACAACGTAAAAGAATACAATACTCACGACTCA